AAAAAAATGATTGAAACACATGCTTGAACGTCTATCAAATTTAGAGGAGATAGTGGATGTCATGGCAGTGTAAAACTAACACATGCATGTGCTAATCTAGGTGAAATATACAAGTTTTTAGGGTATGTTAGCGCGTGCCACACTTAGACAAGAAACCTCGCACTTCTACACTTCATTACACATTGGGCGAGCTACTAAACCTAAGGTTTGGTCAAAGGTAGGAGTACTAAGCATGACATGGATATTATTTTCATGCAAAAATAAGGACGTTGAACACAAGTTCAACATCCCATCGCCACGCCGCTATCTTTTTAGCCCTCACATGAGAACAAATCATAGAAATTTACTTAATTTTCATGATTTAAACAAGTGGACAGCGGATATAGGGTTTTAGGAGAGCAAAAAAATTGAAGTTTCTAAGGACCTAGTGCTTGGAGGCGTCAACCACATTGCAATTGGCCTTGGGAGCCTTAAGGTTTCGCCTAAGTTATAGTGGTATACCTTCCCCGGGTTGTCCAAGCGCTCCTATCCAAGTTCCAAGCTTTGTCCAAGCTCCGCTCCAAGCTCCAAGTCGCTGTCCAAGGTATTCCGGGCGTCGCCGCTGCTGACCAAGCTACTCCGGAGGGTGGATTTGCTGTCCAAAGCACTCCCGACAGCAATTTTCAGCGTTTGACAGCTCTCGGAAGCTGTATGGCTGCTGTCCAAGGCGATTTGAAGACTCCAAGTTGCTGTTTGGAGAAGTTCGAAGCTTTCTCTCGCTGTTGGCTGCTGTCCACACGTTTCAAACAGCAGATTTTGCTGTTCGAGAATCTCCCGGAGCTAATTTCGTCATCGAGAAGTCGCCGGAGTTGAAAGAGAAGGGAGGAGAAGCCTTCCTTTGCTGTTTGGAAGCTTCAAATGGCTTCCAATCCGCCTCGAGGTCGCCGGAGACGAAGAAGGAAGAGAGTAGAAGTGTTCTTCCGTAAGAAGTGTCGCACCGGCCCAAACTTAGAGGAAGTCGGAGGCTTTGGAGCGAAACTGGAGGCCGACAGCTTCAAAAGATGTGGCAAACGGGAAGAGACCGAGCCTTAGGAAGCTCGGCCGAAGGCCCAGGCGGGGTCGGTCGGGAGTTCCGCACGAGAGGAGGCACGAACGGGCTGGAAATCGCGCGAACGAGGGCTCTGGCGCGAATGGGAGCTTCGCCTGGTACTCCTGCTCCCGTTCTCTCTCGCTTGTTCTCTCTGTGTGTGTCGGGACGGAAGAAAGAAAGCCAAGGGGGAGCCGAATGCCGCTCCCCACTCCCTCTCCCGCTCTTGTTTCGCTCTGGCTTCGGACGGACAGCCCAAGGGACCGCCCAAATGAGCCTATGAGGCTCTCTCGTTACTTGAAACGAGGAGAATGTACTTGAGTACATTGAACCCAAATTTGGGTGAGATTTGAGAGAAAATCTCAGCCCTAGGTTCAAAATTCTGATTTGGGGAGTTGGTTGAGCCCAAATCAATCAATTGGGGCTGAAATTGGTTCCGAATTGGGCTCGACCCGAATCGATTTGAGTCGATTTGGGTCCGATTTTGTTCGATTGAGTCAATTTTGCGAAATTGAACTCAGATCGACTCTGAAATGTGTCAAACTGCGTCGAATTGGGCTCGACGGCGCTCGACGAGGTTCGATTGGGTTTGATTTGATTTGATTTAATTTTAATTAAATTAAATTGGGTTCAATTTAATTAAAACGAGGCTTAATTTGAGTCAATTTAACATCGACAACGATCAATTGAGTTGATCGAGCGCAATCGAGTCTAGTCGGGCTCGATCGGGGTCGAATCGATGCGAAAATATTCGTCAACACACACCCCCCTGCTCCCACACCAAGTAATATGGCGATGTCATTTGCTTGCCTTCCCAGCATTCTAACCTACAGATGCTCGACAGTTGTAAAACTATCTTTCAATTCTTAGTTGATTTCATTTAACATTCTTTTACTTTTTTGCAGGATCAATTTGACACAGTAGATCTCTCTGATAATGAGATCGTTAAGCTTGAAAACTTCCCTTATTTAAGTCGGCTTGGTACCTTGTTAATTAATAATAACAGAATTACCCGTATTAATCCTGAAATTGGAGGTAAGGTATTTGGGAAACTTGTCCAGATTTTCGTACTTAGATTTAATGCTCTTCAGATTATGCCGCTTATATTGATATCTTCAATCTACAGAATTCTTGCCAAAGCTACACACTTTGATCCTTACGAATAACCGACTTGTCAATCTGGTGGAGATTGACCCCCTAGCATCTCTTCCAAAGCTGCAAACTCTTAGTTTACTGGACAATAACATCACAAAGAAACCAAATTATCGGCTATATGTGATCTTCAAACTGAAGAAGCTAAGGCTGCTAGATTTCAGGAAAGTTAAACAAAAGGTATGCTTTTTTGTAGCATCAATATTTTTTTTTTGTTCACCAGTGCGTCACTAGCTTTCTGCTATTTAACTTTTGAGCACTCATATATTGCCTTGTGATAACACGTGAAGTGAAACATTTTTTGCATCAAGAAAGATAGAGGTAGACCTAAAAAGACATGGTTAAAAAATATTAGAAATGATATATCTTTATTAGATTTAAATGAGAATTTGACTTTTAGCAGAACACAATGGCGAAAAAGGATTTATGTAGCCGACCCTACGTAGTGGGACAAAGGCTTGATGTTGTTGTTGGTATTTTATACAATCACCTTATGCCCATGGGTTTTTGATAGCACTTCTATACCAACCCCTACTTTCTGGTAATATAGTTTCAGGTAAAGTTATCGGGTATTCTGTTTCTCGGAAATTTTCATGCTAGTATACTATATGGAACTATGATCCTTGACATTGAACTCTGATTATCGTTAATTAACTATCAACCATGCAATCACTAACAAAAACGTAGCATGATAAAATAATCAACATATATGGTAGCCTATAGGAGTTGCATGAGGGTGGGTAAATCCCAATATCCGACCTTACATGACTAGAATTAATATAATATTTTTTTGGACATGTTGCATAACTGTTGTTTTAACTTGAAGTCACCTTAACGCAGTTTTTCCAGACCATATAATTTGTTCTCTTCAAACTATATTATTTAACATTAATTAATATTTATTTATTTTGAGCAAATTATCCTTTTTAAACCAATTTGATCTAAATGGTCGATTAAATCTTAGATCATCCATTAATTTTTTTTCTAATTAGCTGTTTCTCTTCTTAATAGTTCCACTCAGCTAACCAAATGATTCTTTCTGTCCTTATAAGTACAACCAATTTCAGTCAATGTACTTGAAGAGCATCAACATGCAACTGTAATTTCTAATATTTTTAAACAAAGGGGCCTTGTATCCATGACCCATAGAAGCGGTAGCCTTCTCAAAGACAAATTTTATGCATAGGAGAATTGAGTATTTATGGGAGACATTTATTTGTCATGCCACGTGTCTTTACTGGAAAAAGAAGCCTTTATTTAAAGTGTTCATTATGCTCCCTTTGAACTCTTCATCGCTGTGGAAGCTTTTCTTTTTGCCTTCAAAAGATTCTACAGGATCCACTTTATTACTATAACCTTCTTGAATTGAGATCTACTTAATTGATGCACCAGGAATATCTTGACTATAATCATAATCACTCAAAATAACACCCTCTTTTTCATAACTACCATCATATGGATCTTCCTTCATTTTCCCTCAATTTTCCTTTGATTTTGTTGTATTTTCTTGCAATGACCTTCCAAAGAAACTTTCTTACAAGCAATAGCATTGCCTTCTGTTTTAGTAAGGTGTCATTCCTCCGTTAAACAGTGAATGATTAAAGCCAAAAATTAAAACCTCTCTTGTTGAGCTTTACAGGACTTTATTTATTTATTTATACATTCTCTTGATATGCTATGTGAAATTAGTTGCTCTTGATCGCTTTGATGACAGGAAAGGATTGAAGCTGAAGGGTTGTATGCTTCTGAGGAAGCAGAAGAGGAGGCCAAAAAGATACCTGCTAAGAAATTTACTCCAGTTGAGGCTACCAATTCTGCTGATTCTTCGAAGGAAGAACAAATTCCTAAAGTAGTTGCCCCTACGCAAGAGCAAATTATAGCCATAAAGGTAACTTGTAGAGTAAAAGGTATCTTGAATCAAACTTTTTGGCATCGTTGGATGCTTTACAAAATCGTATAGATGGATATTTTAAATCCGATATGCACTATGCTTTTCCTGTTGTTGAACCTTCATTCTGCAAGCTTTCTTTTTCCGTTAGCAGGCTTCTACAAGTATATTTTATTATAGTTTGAACTATTGATGATCTTCAGGCCATTGTTGTCTTAGACAATCCCATTGCTTCACTCAAATTTTTATGCAAGGACAGTGTTTATCGCCTTATAGCAGTTTTTAGTTCTTATAATTGCATTTTGATTGGCATCATCGTGTTAACTGATATCATCCTCTGCCTTGTCTGATCCATTGCTCAAAATTTCCATCAATTCAGAGCATCCCGTGTCTTGTACGGTTGTGGTTTAATACTACTTGTTTTCTTCTCGCTGATTACTCTTAACTACAACAACTACAACAACAACAACATTAAGCCTTTGTCCCACTACGTGGGGTTGGCTACATGAATTCTTTTTCGCCATTGTGTCCGGTTAAAAGTCAGAGTCTCATTTAAATCTAATAAAGAAAGATCATTTCTAATATTTTAACCAAGTATTTTTAAGTCTACCTCTACCTTTCTTAACATAAGTCAAATATAATACCTAACTTTCCTAACCGGGTCATGGGAAGGCCTCCGTTTAATGTGACCAAACCATCTAATGCGACTCTCTCTTATCTTATCTTCCACTAGAGCTACTTCGACCTTTTCACACATATGCTCATTTCGTATCCTATCTCTAAGGGTCAAGCCTCTCATCCACCTAAGCATCCTCATCTCTGTAACACTTAACTTAGTATTATGCTTCTCTTTTAATGGCCAACATTCGACACCATAAAGCATTGCAGGTCTTGCCACCATCTTATAGGATTTTCCTTAAGTTTGAGGGGGATTTTTCTATCGCACAATAAGCCCGATGCATTCCTCCACTTCAACCATCCAACTTGAATTATGCTGATAATATCCCCATCAATTTCACCATCACTCTGAACAATAGATCCAAGATATCTAAAATGTGTACTCTTATTAATGTCTTGATCGCCCAAAGTCACAATCCCCTCACTAGGTCTATTGCTCCTAAAATTACACTCAATATATTCAGTTTTAGATCTACTCAAGCGAAAACATTTAGACTCCCAAGTTGACCTCCATAATTCAAGTTTACCTTCAACTCCCTCTCTAGTCTTATCAACAAGAAGAAAACTTCATGTGTCTTATCATTCATGTGTTCGTGAATGTTCCATATTTTTATTCTGGGCCCACTCAGCGTTAGTGTGTACTCATGAGCTTGCCATACTATCTTGTGATGTCTGATCATAATGTGCTCGATCTAGTTCGAGCTCGAGCTCATGAGCTCGATAAACTCGGCCCGCTAGCTCGATAAGCTCGGCTCGTAAGTCCATAAACAAGTCGAGCTTAAGCCGGCTCGGTTCACTAACACCCCTAATATAACCTTATGCCTTCTTCTTCTTCCTAATTCTTTAAAATTAGTTTTATTAGCTTGTTTAAGAAGCACTTTTTTTTTTCATTTGTTGTATATCTAAGACATGGAAGTCGATTCAATCTGCTTTATCTTCAATATATGTCATTCTAACTTGTTTTCTAATATAATAATTATTTTATTTATTCTTTCTAGTTTTATCATACAATTATTTTAATCTTTTAATTTTTGTTATATTCAACCTAAATTCAAATCTGAAGTGGTCGTGCACAGGCATGCAAATTGAGTATAAAACATGACAGTAGTTCATTCTGTATTTTCTAGATCAAATCTGTATCCTCTAAATTTTCCCAAAGCATTTACCTTTAAAACCCTGTAATCATGATTTTGCTGCACCATTTGAGCGGTCTAGGAATTTTAAAAAAAAATCTCTTATCCTTAATTTTTCTTTAACCTTCTTAGGCTCAATTGAAATCTGTAGTAAGATATTGATGTGATTCTGCTCTGAATAATATTGGATCCAACAATTTTCCAAAGTAATACATCAACATTTTTCTAGTTATATTTTCTGCCACTACTACGCTAATAGTGATATTTCCTCATTATTTGCAGGCTGCTATTATTAATTCTCAAACCCTTGAAGAAGTGGCAAGGCTGGAGCAGGTGCCTGCAGCAACAGCTTCACATTTTCATTTTGTTATTGTTTAATCCTCGTTTCCTATTATAAATTTTTTACGTGACTTATCTTAATTTCATGACAGGCTTTGAGATCTGGACAAATTCCTGCAGAATTTCAGATTATGGGAGATGATAATGGGTTAAACGCTGGTGAAAACAAAGACGACAAAATGGAGACTGATGGTGACAATGAGACCATTGATGCTCCAAACAAAGAAGAGGATGAAAACTCAACCCCTATTGAACAGGTTAAATACTACATATAATGCAAATATAATTTCCTTATAGCTTGTGATTATGCGTATTTAAATACATAACAATGTTTCCATTGGTGTCACCGACCACACCATCCTCAGTCGTACCAACCTCCTATTAGGCCGGCCCAAGGAAGGGAGTGGGAAGGGGCTGGCTGCTCCTATGGGGCCCACATCTTGATTAATAATTGCTTTGGAGGGAAATATTTGAATGAGGGGCTCTTTAGGGATTTTGTTTTTCTCTTTTGACTTTAATTTATTGCTAATGCTAGAATTAGGGTTTCATCTTGAGTTTGAAATCAAATTTGAGATCTAGGATTTGTTCCTTTGGGCTCTAGGCTTGGCTAGAGATTTGGAGAGTTGTTTCTTCCTCTTGAATTGAAGAAACTTGTATCGTTTATTGTTTTCCTCGTTCGTGGATTGAATAGAAAAAGTTTGCTTGTGTTTTTTCTCTCCAATTTCCTGAAAATTCTGCATCGTAGTGCTGATTTCTATCTGAAATCAGCAGTTTTCTCGCTGTTTTTCACCCATTATTGTTAGGTTTGCTTGCAAACTCAAGTAATTCCTATCACCTCCCTCCTTCCACGACCACCGACAAGTGCAATAACTCCACCGCCCGGATCAAGAGTCAAAGGTTTCGTTTGAGACGACTTTCTTACTTTTTCTTAAATTAACTTTTTAGTACTAAAATGCTATTTTAAGAAGCTGTAAGAAAGCCATCCCAAATGAAATCAAAGTCCAGAGTTTAGTTGACAAAATCTAAAACTTATTTTTTTTTTGTTTTAAAACTTCATTACTTTCTATAATATATATAAATTATTATTATTTTTTATATTCTCATTAGCAATTAAAAAAAAATTCTGGTTTGAGTTTCTTATCAATAAAGCTTTTGATAGTTTTGGCATGCGGAAACTTTTATATGATGGATTTGGTTCAGGATTACAATTTACAAAACATTTAAATTTGTTTTAAGATAAATGCAACATTAATTATTCATGTGTTGCATTTATTTTTAAAACAAATTTTAAGATTTTAAAATTCATCTTAATCAATTTCTGATCAAAATATCTTAATACAAGATTTAGAATTCTAAATCCTTCTCAATATCTTCTGTTTACTAACCCAAAATTGAATGCCTGCAGGATTAAGACTGGCAATGAGCCATGCGTGAGGACAGTTTTTATGCGAGAGATTTTGGTGTAAGAGTTTACCTGCTTGCTTTGCAGCATTAGCTATGGCCTTGGCTGTTTATTCTTTAGCAGTGCTACTGTGGTGATACGATCCTTTCAGTTTTAAGACATTGTGTAAGCTAGTAAAATTTCACTGTGCTCCTACTTGCTAGGTTTTTAATTGGTAGAAATCCTGTACAAATTTTTAATTTTGCCTCACAGGACGTTTGTTCTTAAATATATATTAGTTAGAGAAAATGATGATCATGTGGGCCTCGTTGAGACGGATTAATTTTGACTTTTATGTTTCAAACTGGCTAAGTTATTTTTGAGTTGCTGTTTGTATGTGACATTTATGTAGAACTGTTTTTTTCTTCGGAACATCATTTTTGTACCATTTTCAGAAGCTTTTTAATATTAGCTTCTATGTTAGAAATCTCCATTCTCTCAAATAAAAATTTTAAAATTACCTTTTACAAAAGGCATCGGGTAGCCAAACAAAATCTTAGACTTCATTTGGGATGCCTTTTTTACTGTTTTTTTAAATGATTTTTTAGCATAAAAATTAAAATTTTTTACTAAAAAGATGCTTTAAAAAACAGTAAAAAAACCGTATGGAAAGAAACCTTAGTCTTTTTAGATTTCAGCATTGTTATAATTATATAGTGGTGATTTTATTAATCGTTATTTTTTATTTATTTCTATGCAGTGCTTTAGGAGAAGTTAAATTTAATTTTTATAAATTATTTAATACAATTTCTATTCATATAATTTTGATTTTTGGGTTCTACCTTCTCCTTATGTTTAAAACATAAATATTTCAAAATTTTTCCGTCAATTTCAAAATTCTATACTTATTTTATAATTAAATTGTGACTAACCATTACTAATTTTTTTAGAATAAAATGACATTGTGCCAAGGAAAAAGGAATTTCTTAAAAATTAGAATAAGTGATAAAATCTCATCTGGATGTGGAATTATTTTCTAATGGATTGACAGAAGTGTAATGTGGGAAAATAAATTTATAATCATTCTAAGCTTTTTAATCTATTTTAATTTTATCTTATTTGATTTACATTACTATTATGAGTTTTTTCTCCTTTATTTTTTAGCTTAATATAGTTTATATTTAATGACATTTAAAAAATGTTTATAACTTAATTTATAGGAAATATTCTAAAATAGAAATAAAAAAATTCTAATAAAATGAACATAAGTGAAAAAAAGCAACAAAATAGAAAGTTTTCCTTAATTCTAAAATAGAATTTAAATTGAATTAAAACGTTAAAAAAAAAAACTTTTTTTTTCATAGAAAAAAAATAGACAAAAGGGAAAAGATGATTCGTCGTATTTTTAGTTATTTCACCACAAAAAAACAGAAAATGTATTTTTAATTATGTAAGAAAATATAATTTAATCTTCAATAATAAAATAATAAATTTATTAGCAAAAAAGCATGTTTTTAGAAGATAGAAATGATTTGTAATTTGATACGAATGATTTACCAAGGAAGTTTTAATTTATTGACCGAAGCTCCGCTTTCTATGATTCGTTCATGCCGCATCTATATATACATATTATATAAACGAAATGTTCTGCATATTTTAATAGATATTTATTCTATAAAATTGATCAAGAGCCTGTTCCAAATATAATCATAATTTTATTTTGTTATCATTTTTCTGTTTATTTCTCATTATTTCTTAAAAAACTACCTTTTGCAATCATATAATTAAATAAATTTTCACGTAGCAATTACACCACCATCTACAACCATCTCAAACAAGCAAAATTATTAAGAGTTATAGAGAATCAAAAGGGCATAAACGGTTAAAAATAATTCGGAAACCAAATCAAAATTTAAATTTAATTCCAATTTATACATCGAACAGGAAAGATAAATAAACATTCAGTTCTCCTGCCAAGCAACTAAATAGCAAGCTAAGCTCTTACATCCCAGCTCTTTGTTCTTCAGAAATAGAAAGATAATGAAATTCTCTCAAAAATCTTCACGCAAAAGTTTTTCGGTCCCCCGCATTCAAATAAAGCAGTTTTCATGTAAAAACATGGGAGGGAGACATTGACAAGGAACAGGAAGAGAGATCTCAAACCTCATCATGCTCATTACATGTACGGAGGAGGTGGCGGCGGCGGCGGCATCCAAGGCGGCAATGGCATTCGCTGATGATAACCATTTTCCGAATGATTCTGAGTAATTCTGTCACCGGAAGCGCCACCTCGCTGAAGAAAACTCCCAGATTGAGGAGGTTGGTTAGGGTTGAAGGGACTCCACCACTGAGATTCACCTTCCAGAGGGATCCATGGAAGAGGTGTGAAGGTTTCTCTACCCCAGCCATAGTAGCGATCAAAATGCCTATCTGAATCTTGGTGGCTTCTGGTTGTGGAGTTGGAAACAGAAACTCCGTATAATCCACTTATATCGGCCGATGATGGGGCCGATACGAGAGCTACACCCCTTGACCTCGGCCTCCTTACAGGTGCAGCAAAAGGAGCAGCCCGGTTAGACGATGAAGAAACCGCTTGCCCGTGGCTTCTAGCATGGGCCCTGACCTCCCCTATGATCGGCGGCCCCATTGATGAAGCTACTAGATTACTTCCATTTCGGGGTGCAATGGACCTGCAGAAAAGACATTAGAAGCAGAATTGCATCAGATGATCAGCGTATTAGAAGCAGAATTACAACAACAACAACAACATCAAGCTTTTATCCCACTACGTGGGGTCGGCTACATGAATCTTTTTTTTCCATTGTGTCCTATTAAAAGTCAAATTCTCGTTTAAATCTAATAGAGAAAGATCATGTCTAATATTTTCTAACCAAGTCTTTTTAGGTTTGCCTCTGTCTTTCTTAACATATGTCAAATCCAATACCTCTACTTTCCTAACCAGATCATCGGAAGGCTGCCGTTTTATGTGACCAAATCATCTAAGGTGACTCTCTCTAATCTTATCTTCTATTGGAGCTACTCCAACCTTTTCACGTATATGCTCATTTCGTATTCTATCTCTACGGGTAAAACCACTCATCCACCTCCTCATCTCTGCCACACTTGACTTAGTATTATGCTTCTCTTTTAATGGCCAATATTCTACACCAAAAGAATTGCAGGCCTCACCACCATTTTATAGAATTTTCCCTTAAGTTTGAGATGTATTTTTTATTACACAACAAGTCCGATGTATTCTTCCACTTCAACCATCCAACATGAATTCTGTTAATAATATTCCCATCTGAACAATAAATCCAAAAGATCTAAAACGTGTACTCTTATTAATGATCCGCATATACTCTACAAAAAAAAAAAACAAATATTGGGATAAGGGAAGGAAACTTACCCATGTAGAAGGGGATGTGCTTGTACAAAAGATCCTAACCTCTGCTGATTACTTGTATCATTCCTAGAAAACCTGATACCATAAAGAGACGTAGAATGATCAGAATTTCCAACCAAAGACATGGAAGGTGAGGGCGATTGCTGTGGCCAATTGGAGTTTTGTGCCTCAGTTGAAGAGAAATTGTGGAGGTTAAGCATTTCAACTGACGATTGTACGCCCAGATTTGTCCGATGGAATGGAGAATTCTCTGAAACAGAGACAGAAGTACTTGAATGTGCAACGTTCATGGCATGATGAAGAGCTAAGTAAGGACAAGCATGCGAGCTTGTAGAAGAGCTTGAGAGATCTGAAAATGTACTGCTGCCCGAAGTGTCGTGATCTTTGGTAGAGAAGAAGAGGAGACAAAAAGAAGAAACAATCATAAAATGAAATATACAACAATTAGCTAAAATTATAGAACTAAGAAAGATTAATAACTTACATGAATTTGGCTGGGAGTCTCCTTCCCTGCCACAAAAAAAGGCATAAATAAACTGTCCCATTTAACAAAATGGTCGCAATTAAGTAAATAAGAAATTTAACTTCTGAAAGTAAATAATTGCATTGACTCTGTTGGTAGCAAGAAATACAAATATTCATACTTCCATCAAATGTTGACTCTTCAACTTTTACTTCTTAGTTATTTTATCATTCAAATCATGCACCTAACTTCTATTATTACCATATATCACTTTATTGAATGCTCTATAAAGTCCATTATCTTAATTATTTCTATAAAGTTCATTTTCCTATCATTTAGTCAGATTAACAATTTAGCATTCATATTATCATTTTCATAACAAGATTAAAACCGACTTCTAATTCATTAGGTTGAAAATGAGCTCTTTCAAAACTTCAATTTTTTCTCTAACTTGATTCATATTTTCCTAACACAACTAATTGTTTTTTCAATTTTCTAAATTGCATCCCTTTGTTGAACAATTAAATAAAATTACTTTTGAGCCTCAGTTCTAGTTCAGATTGTGACACAACTTTAAGCTCTAATATCAAATATCATGTAAGATATCAAAGGATCTAAAGTTTCTGATGAAAATCAAACTTGGATACAAAAAACATGTAATAAGCACCCAAAATTCACAAGCCAGGCTACTATTCAAAAACAATTATTGACTAATTTGATAAAAAGAAAAAAAAAATGATGGTGATCAATTTTCGCAAGAAACACAATGGTCTTCTAGTAGAAATTAAGTATAAGAATAAGAATAAAAAAATCCATAGACTTGATTGGAACTCCAACACTTATTTAAACGAAAATTGGCACAAATCCAACTATACAAAATGAATTTTTAAAACAAATGAAAGATTAGAATGAAAAAGTGGAGAAGGAGAAGGCTGTGTGCGATGTTCTGCTTGTTGGGATAATGGAGACAAACTCTTGAGTTTCTTCAAGTTTCTCATTTAGATACACTGAACATAAAATGTAAAGAAATTGTACATTCAACCAAAAAAATTACTCAACCACTAATTAATTGTGTGTGTGCTTCAAACCCCTGTAGATAACTACAAAAACAACTGAAAATTGGCTTGAACCTACCGCAACTGAATCACAGAAGTGCCACCAAAGCTGAAGAAGTTGTGCAATAGAATCAGCCACATTTTCGGGAAATAGGCGATCTCATAGTAGCTACTAAACTAGGAGAACAAAGGAATCACATACAAAAATCGCAAGATGTAGAAGATCACAAAATAAAAACTTCTGAAAATAGCACATAAGCCAAAAATCCTTCAACATAAAAAGAGTAATCAATTACCTGTAAGGTTGAAATTCACAATGCAAAGAAAAATTGCAGGTAACTGTGGATGAACAATAGGGTGTCAATCTGATAGAAAACACTTGTAGATCTCAAGTATTTCCTATCAATCTTCGTAAAAACAGTGAGTCTTCCAAAATCTAATGAAAACAGGGAAAATAGTAGATTTTATTGCAAGACATCAACTAACGGAAGAAAAACAAACAAGATACAATTGATCCTCAATTCGAGAGGATCAATCTCTCCCAAATCTCTAGACGCCGCTAGAGTCCAAAAGAAACCTAAATCTAAGAGATCTCAAATTTCAGCCAAATCAAGATGCCCTAACCCTAGGAAAACAAAGTTTTAAATGCATACAAATCAAAAGGAAATCCCTAAATAGTCCCTACATTCAAATTTCACTCCCAAATCCCTTAAAAATTCTTCCTAAAAAGCTCCATCAGCTCCTGCGGCGCATGCGGCAACAATAGGAGGCGGAGGCATTCCGCCTCATTCTCGTCTGGGCTGGTCCAGCGTGGACCGGCTCGACCGGTCCAATGGACTGGTCTAACACAATCATAGATAGCGCCAAAAAGTTATAGAACACGTGACAGTTGAGTGTAGTCATTGTTGAAAATAAAAGGATCAACTATAGATAGCACTTGGAAGTCACAAAACAAAGGAATCTAAAAATAAGGGACGCGTAGATAGCGTCAAATTGGGCTGGAGAAGAAATACAAAATCGCAAAAATCTATTATCCATTGAAGTGCAAAAGAACAAATAAAGGCATGAGTAATCACATCAGAACATGGAAACCTACGGCCTTTTAGCAAGGAGTGCCAACCTCGGCCAAAACCTCAAGTAACAACTTCAATGTAACCAAATTTTGGGCTAGTTTTAAGAAAATCCAATTTAAGGTAAAAAAAGAACTGTGTTTAATTTATCTGAAATCCCTCCATTTTCCGTTCTCAGCCACCATTACATGAAAGTTGCACATCATCCCGCTATAAAACTTTGCCATATCCACAAATGAATGAGGTTAGTGAATCACGTTCAATAATAGTATAACATGCATGTAGAACTCCACTGGCCACAACTCTCGCTATCTTCTTCACCAATGGTCTCTCCTACTCCACATCAACATATTTTGCAAGATAAGGATTTTGATTGCTCAAATCAAAACTAATGAGGATTGTAACCAACAACCAAGAAACAATGACATCCCATACCTCAAACTAACACTAGCTCATCTGCTAAGAATTAGTAGTAGAGCGATATCTTAATTACTAGAACCTCTGAACGTTCAATCTCTCTCTTTTAGAGAGAGAGAGAGAGAGTAAGAGAGGAGCAATAAAGCATGGTTACACATTATTAAATGTAATTTTATCTTGAAATATACTCTTAATATTTTCACCATTTTATTCTAGTTTAATCAAGCTAAGAAGATCTCTATGCAATGTGACCTTTTTCTAAATGAATTACAATAAAGTGAAATACAGCCCTAACCTCTTGTCTGTACTAAATATAAAGTAGATTTTGTGAATGTTAATGAGGTAAACTAGTTAAGGTCAGGTCTTTGTATGCATAGCTGCTCACAGTTTGCAGATAACTAATTCATGCACGTGTAGAATTCCGTTCCCATCCAAAACATCTAAAACCAATCACTGATTTCCCAAGTTTATTTCCTTCCTTTGGATTATATTTGCGTCTATTTATCAGCGTGAAATGATAATATAACAGTTGGAAAACTGCTTTACATTAGATGTAAAGATCAAGAAATCATTTTTCATCTCTGCAAAAGTAGAATTCAAGGTTCCTTGCCACGTGTCATCTCGTGTGCAATAGCATGAAAAGTGATAACAATCAATTTGTGATTAAGATGTGCAGTAACAGAAACTTCCAACGCAGGCAAAAGGAACTTACTCTAACAATGCTGTTAGTCTGGTAAACCCGCGGAAAGGACACCACTGAAATCCAAATGGCTGCAACAGAAAATAACACAATTACGGCCATGAACCATCTAACACTTTCAAAAAATACTTGTAAATAATCAAAATTATAAGAATACTATAAATTATACAATAAATATCATATTAATAGTGAAAAATATATATAAAGGGAAGAAGACCACACAACCAACTTGATGCATGCGCCACTAACACAAGCTATTATTCTGTGCAGACACCGGACGGTTCTCACGTCCGGTTACGTGCTCGGTACAGAGCAGAACCGAGCGCGGTATATTTTGGGGTGACGTGGTGCATTTTTATTAGTCTTCTGACGCCGTCCGGACTCCGCACAGAATAATAAATCCACTAACACATGGCTTTGATACCATCAAAGCTCTATACTTCCGACAGTTAGAATTAATGCTTAATGCTATGCCATCCATAACTGATGGACCTCGATATATTAATATTAATAAGTATGACACGAAACAAGAAAAGCATTAATATTACTGCATGCTAGATATAAGTATGCACTAAAATAATATAACCTTAAAATTTCATCAAAACTGCATCAATCACCATCTCTTAGATAAGTATTAAAAAAAAGTATAAAGCACTTGGAAACACAATATTGTGAAATACCATAATTCAGTAAAATAGACAAGAAAAAATGAGCATACAGCAGCTGATACACATGTAATCAAAACGCAATATGCAACAGAATTTGTTAATATGCACATTGAACAGTCATTAATCAAGTATACCTCCAAAATAAACTTTAAGGTCCAATATTAGTTGGCTTTAGCATTTAGAAACTTGTTTTTGCTTCCTAGGCAGCGCCTGGTTAGCAAAGGGCCCTCATGGTTACGTATGATTCAGCTTGCTAAACAATGAACTAGCATTTCTGCAGCTCTAATAGAAAATTGCAACTAAACTTTCAGCATACCAAAGTTCCGTGATAGGATCTGACAAACATCTAAATTTTATTCACAAAGGATATAGACAGAATATCATTTTCTTGCACTAAACTTTGAGCGCATCATTCCTCGTCTTAAGAAAGATGATGTAAGAAAGAAGAAAAGTAGAAAATTTACTTTAAATTTTATTGCTCAATTTCTTCAAAAGTTTTATAATGGAAATAAATTAAAACTATTTATAACAAAAAGGAAAAAGTCCCAAGAAGGGCCAAAGTTTATAAAAGAAAAAGGCGGCACATGAATTGCAATCTAAGTGTCATTAGAGGATCGGTCTAATGGTTAAAGCCCTTAATCCATGTGCCCAAGGATTCCTACCATAATTGGTTGAGTTGTGAGTCCCATGTTCATTTAACATTCCTCCTCAAACTTAATGGTATAAATATATCATTCCAAGTTTGCTAACAATGTTTTTGAATGTTTGGTTTGCATAGACCGTTAGTAAGAATGTATGCAAGTTGATTCCCTTTTGACATATATGAAGTGAAAATCAATCAAAGTTTTAGCCTCTCTTTTATAAAATGTCCATCCAACTCCGCATGCTTGATACAATCATGTTGTATTGAAATATGAGCAATGTTGATATCAAATTTATTATCACAATATATCGTCATTAGCCTTTTCTATTTAATTTTTAAAACTTTCAAAATAATTTTGATCCACAGAAGTCTGCAAATTCTTTAGGCAATAGCTCTAAATTCATATTAGTTGCTAGATCTTTAAAAAATAGGCTGTTTCTTACTTCATTTCATGAGATTTTTCGCCAAAAATATATGGTATCCCATCATGAATCTTCTGCTACTAACAATCATGTATAGTCTGCATTAGTATACCCTTTAGTTTATGAAATACTAGCTTTCTACAGAGAATTACTTTAGCAGAAATTAATTTAGGATATATAAGGATTCTATAAATAGCTTGAAGATGAGACTATTTCGATTTGAGCATGAATTGACTGATGAGACCCACTGTAAATGCGACGCCTGGACGAGCGTGAGAGATTATTTATTTATTTTTTAACTAATTTTTTATATTGTCCCATATTTACCTCTTTTCCTTTTTTATTTGTGCCCAATTTTTTGACCTAATTCAGTTGGGGATTCATATTAGAAAGGAATATTCTTTGTTCTGATTGAGAGAATTTATTCCAAATAAGTATTTGAATTTGTCAAACTCTTTGATCTCAAACTCTTCAGCAAGTTTTTTTCCTAAGAGATGCATTTTCTCTATTGTTAACATGTGTGATAAATATATCGTCAACATATGTGAATGAGGATTGAGATTTTATCATCAATGTAGTGTTTTATGAAGAATGTATCATTTGCTTGGCTTTGCTTATATCCAACTTAATTCATGGCTTTTGTGAATCTGCAGAGAACATTTAAGAACATATAGAGCTTTTTTTTTTTTTTATTTGCACACATTGAAAGAACTATCAAATCCAAGTAGTAGATAGGCTTCTTCGACATTTCATGCTAGAAAATAGTATTTACATCATACTGTTGATAGACCATCCACAATTGGCTACAAGAGAAACTAAATGCATATCATTTTTGAAATAAGAGCTAAAGTTTCTTGGTAGTCAATATCATAGAATTGCGCATATAATTTAACTGCCAATCTCACTTTGTATCATTTAGACTTCTATTTGCTCCACATTCTATAGAAAAAAATTATGTGCATCATACCATTTTCTTTCATTTTCGTAGTTCAATTATCTCCCAAGTGCGATTTTTTAAGTGCATTGATATCTTCTCTTATGGAATCCTTCCATGCTTATTTACAAGTGCCTCACAAAAAGTTCATGGTATTATAACAGAATTAGAGCTGATATTTATAAGGAATGCTTTACTAGTAAAAGAAATTTAAAAAAAAAAGTGCACTGAGAGATAGGATACAAATGAGAATGTATAGTAATGAGTTGATCATTATTACTCGATGACAATTTTGAGCCTTGAGCTTGCTAGAGGTTTTGATTGGGCTCATTCCTCTTGTATAAACTTGACAAGGTTACAGACAGAGTGAAGAAACATGCATATGATTCATGTAATAGTTATATTATGGTATCATCAACATGGGTCACTAGGTTTTTTCCCGAGTGATTTCCAACCTTTCACTCTCATTTTCCCAAAAGGTTACAGACGAAGTCAAGAAACATGCATAAGTATGAAAGGATGGTTTTTTTCTAATATTTTTCATGTATTTTGGATGTGTTTCGCTGTGGTTGCTATTGTTTTTGATGATGGGTCAATACAAATACCAAAAAGACCTATTTACACTATTCTCAAAGTTATGCATTTAACAATTAAACCCAGGGGATGCATTTGAGCTTCTCTCAACAAACTGATGGGGATCTCAGCTTTAACTTGTCAGGGCATTGGACCAAGATTTAAATTTAGGTAAATAGAAGGGTATCCAATTCAGACTATTCTGTAAAACGCATTTACATTATATGTTTCTGTCAGATGGTCTAAAAATCAACAATGGATCTCATCAACTTCGACTTTGGTCCCATATGGCACCATGATCCAATTAATACATGACAGTCACTGTAAAAAGGATCAGTCCAACTTAATTCACTAAAAGCATATTTAAATCCAGGAGACAGAGACATGATATATTCGAAAGGAGAATCACTAACAATTGGAAAAAAATAGATCTATGACCCTTAATTTATAAACAAGCACAGAGATAAATGTTAAATATAACAGTATTTACATTTAAAATTTATTATATCATAGATGACAAATAAAAACTCTAAGCCAACGCCAAAGTTTAATGATCATGTACAATATTAGAAAATCTATAGAGAAAAAATTATAAAGCGATCAAATTAAGGTTGGTTTAGAATATCGCTGAATTAGAGTCCAAGTCTAAAATGTGCCAGATAGAAATATGAGCATCTACACAACCAAGTTCAATGCTAATTGATAAAAAGTTTTTAGATCGATGATAGTCTACTTGTAGTCCAAATCAAATAAGTAACATTGTGATATTTTTGGGAAAGAAATTTTACAGATCACACAGGACACTTACCAGTTCTGAATAACTTAAATCATAAATATTCTCAGTGATCCAGCCATCAAGATCAAAATCAGTTGACGAATGAAGTCCATTTGCATATAACCAAAGGCCTTTCTCAATTTTCCTACAGTTCGGGCACTGCATTGCTCCCTTGGCATTAAATGCTGACCCAATACAATCTGAACCAATAGTAAAGAAATGGTCACGTAAATAAAAAACTTAGGGAAAATAAACAGTAAATCAAGACAATGAAGGAAACTCAAAAAGATTAAATTATTTATCACCATCATATTTAGTCTTAGATGAATACTTAGAGTCAACTTTACAAATCTTCATGCTCCGTTCATTCCAATTGCGTTGTAAGAAGTATTAAACCTCTTTCATGCAAATATTTTTGTGCAACTTATGTTCATGTTACCCTCACCTATAGTTGTTCTTCCTAATACAATGAAATTAATTTTTTCAACCCATCTTATAGATGCATATTCACAAGAGAGACATTTTTAACCTATTTAATGCCACAGTTTCCCTGCATTGCCTTTTTTTCTATAATAATGTCAAGGACACAATAGCTTCTCCTATGATGTTGGATATATTTTCTTGATATATGGTCAAAATTAGGGTATTTCACAAGCAATACAAAAGATTTTTTCATGATAGACTACACTTTTTTTTCATAATATTCTGCTTTAATTTTAAGTGCATTCTCAAAAAGTTAACTTTCTGCTTGCTTGCCCCATAAGAAAAAGAACTCGAACTTACATTTATATTGTACTAATTTTTTGCACAGCTGACAACTCATCATGAACCTTCAAAATTTTTATTGTAGATATAGAATATATATGTCTTGTCAGATCATAATGAAAACTGACTATTCAATTGTAAAAAAGCAGGAAAGATTGACTCCATCAAAATTTATTCAAAGCATACAAATTTCACTCTATAATAAGATTGTATTACAGATACAAGAATGTTGTGCTCAATGAGTGTTCGATTTTTTTGCTAAATTTATATTTGAGTATTCGAACCTTCATTCATAGTGATAAAATTAATGGTGTCTTATTAAAATGTCGATTGTTCAGAGCCAAAAATATTAGCAACATTTTGGTAGACTTCAAATACATTTATAATGCTTTTCTTCAATGAATGATGTTTAACTATGTCTATTACAGTATTACTATATATCAATTGCACAAAAAGCGAGCTGCCATATATTCAATAAGATTTAAACATTGCATTGAATTAAAATATTTGAATGCCTGAAATGAAGAATTTCCATCTAATTCAAAATTCTCTTTTCTAAACAATGATATTATATGCAAGAAAAACATACGAGAGATTTACATTCAAGAATGCAACACCGCAATACAAGGTTTGGGTTCCTTTTTCAAATTTCTCCTTGATGCAAATAAATCAATAAAAGTACTGAATTACATCTTTTTAAGCCCTACTATTCTTCTTCACACACTCTTAAAAGCAAAGGAAAAAAAAAAAACACACTCAAATTCAACACAAAGATAAACATGAAATAGTAGTAGTGGAAGAATAAGAAAAACTAGCAAGCTCAGAAGATTAAAAAAAAAACTATATATATATATATATAACGTCCTTGTTCTACTAATCTTTCTACCTTTTTTTTTTCCAATGTTGTAACTTCTCACTAAAAAAGAAGCCTCAACTATAATAACCATACCAAACATAAATAGCACATTCCAAAGCACCTCATAATGAATATCTCTTATAAGCATGTCCAATACCATAAAAATAAATAAATATAATGTTGATGCAAGATGTAATCCTATCATGATGTAAAAAACACAATCCATAAATAAATAGTTACTCATAATACTAACCATTGTTGAACCATAATAACTTTAATAACTACTTTATTAAAAAAGGAAATAAATAAGGTAAGGTATTTTATCCATCCATAGGGAGAATGAAAGTGCAAAGGCATCAAGAATAAGCCCCGCATTTTTTCCATTTACAATGCTTAAGCATGCTTAAAATAAAATATAGAATAATGGAATGGAATTTTTTTTAAAAAATTCGTTAAAATTTGAGGATATGTTTTCTGAAAAAAAAAAAAAAAACATAAAAAAATACAAATACAAATGAAGACAGAAGACCATATATAATCCTATCTAGGCAATTCCCAATGTCCAATTAATATAAGCATATAAAGTACAACAAATTAGATGTAAAAACAAATAAGCAAGTAAATTAAATATTCAGCACCATCCTCCTTATCTTCCACAATTTAGGCATCCAGATCATTGCAAGTTCAAATGTTATAAATTTAGTATCAATAACGAATTCTACTTCAAAAAGCCATTATACTCAAACTATAAAGCATTTGCAACTTACATGCATTTCACTTTTCATCCAACATATGATTAAAAAAATTAATGCCAAATATTTGGCTGGGTGGCATTATCTTTGACATCCAAAGTAGAGTCTAAGGTTTGCATATTTGCCAAGAGAAAGATTAAAAAAAAAATTATGAAGAAAAATTAAATCAATTTCAGGGGAGATTCAAAAAGATAGAAAAAGAAATGTAAGACAAAAAACAAGAAAGAGATTCAATGTTTCAGTTGAGTTCATAATCATCCTTTTAGAATTTGTAATTACAATTTGTGTAGGTCTTGTACTCATTTTAACGTCCAACTGAGAGATTAACATCATCAAAAATAAAAGCCGCACTCTTTAATCCAACAAGGTTCTTACGGACACATAAGATCTTTTTTTCTCCACTACATCAAAATTTGCGTCCACCAAAAAAGGATTAAATATTTGTTTTCTTCTAATACTCCTTGCTCTCAAACCAAGTATTGTATCTCTCACACAAAACAAGGTATTATTCCGCTTGAGCTATACTGATTTCTCTCCTGATCTGAATATAAAATATGAATAAAAAAGGGAATTTACATACAAAGCACAAAATTTTTTATGTATTTGCATATCTAACAACTAAACATTTAAACTTACTTATATTATATGTCATTTTATTGTCTAAATCAAATCAAAGCAAATGCATGAAAAGGTGTGTTTTACTATAAATAAATTAGTATCGGTGGTATGTTTTACGTGATTTAAAGATTTAAGTCTTACATAAGTAAATATAAAAATTTAGATGTTGATAGATAAATATATCAAATTTTTATCGTATGTGTGTAAATCCCCCAAAAATATATTAGAACTTTATAAACAAATGATAAAAAAAAAACCATCATTAACATTATCCCAATTATTTGAAGTCACTTTTATGAATCCTCATTCTCCGTTTTTTTTTTTTAGTGTTTACTAAGGTTTCAAACAAATACTCTACAAATCACTTTAATGACTTCTATCCATATTACCATGGATCAACCCCATTTCATTTCTAATCCTTAGGTAATAACTATGTCAACTTCTCTAATGGTGCATTTTCTATCATTCGTTGTGTATGTTCAAATTACCTACGACTATTTGAAAAAATATTACCTAAAACAGATGTTTCTCCAACTCCATATAGAACTTTATCTTTCTATCAAAAAATAGCACATGAAATTTAAAAGAAAACACTCTATTGAGTTGAATATAATCCCTTTCTAGTGATAATGTTAAACCAAAGCCATAAAAGAACTAGGACGTCATCCATTAACACAAATCAAACCAACAAATACCAATCATGTGTAGGGGTGTCAATTCGGGTCAGCGGGTCGAGTTTGGGTCGAACCCGGAACTGACCCGGTACTGTTTGGGTCAACACGAACCCGACCCGTTTTAAAAAACGGGTCAGGTTTCTGGACCCGAACCCTACCCGATTCGGGTCCGGGTCAACCCGACCCGACACGAATGACCCGAAGTTGACCTAAAATTGCTAATTTTCAGGTCGAATCGGGTCAATATTCGATTTTCAGGTCAAAATCGGGTCAAAACGGATCAATCTCGGGTTTTCGGGTCAAATATGACTTTTTATATCACTTTCGGGTCAATTTCGGTTTACTGGGTCAACCCGAACCCGACCCGATTTTTAAAACGGGTTGATTTGTTCAACCCGAACCCCACCCGTTTCGGGCCCGGATTTTTCCGGGTCGGGTTCGTGTCGTGTTTCGGGACGTGTCAAAAATTGACCCCTAATCACGTGAAACAATAAATCATTCCTGGTGAATAAGTATCACTTATTTGTAACCAATTAGCATGAAAATAACTTTTCTATCATTGAAATAAAAAATGGTATTCCCGAACTAGTACACTATTATAAGAGTTTTATACTAGTATCAATAAATTACGCTATTGGAATATAAACCAACTTTTATATCAATTGTATACTAAAGATGTGACTAACATTGATTGATCATGTGAAACTAAATTAACAACAACAAACATGTGATGTTGGCCCAACTAAAACCACTATGCAATTCCCAATACCAAAAAAGTTGCTGAATGCATCAGTTTTGAATGTTTTTAAGAGACAAAAATAGCTTAATTAACAGTTTCTATCAATTTATTTAAAAAACCTTTGAGAAAAAATACATTTGTTCTGACCACTTGAAAAATTACATGCATTGAAAGAGTGCATACTAGTCACAACAATAAGAGACCTAAATTAGAGGTGCAATAAAAATCATCATCATCATTAGCCTTATTATAACTTATCAATCTCAAGTTCTATTAGTTCTTCTTGAGTGTTTTCAGAGGAGTAAAACCTATTTTACACAAATCGTTTTGAACAACTTCCATTCATGTACCTTAGGCTTACTCCTCCTTCTAATCCTATGATATTGACTTTTTTATTCACCTAATGAGTGCGTTTTTAACATTTATTATCATGTCCAAATCACATAAGTCTATTCTAAATTCTCTTATCTTCAATAGATGTCACTATAATAATTCATCTAATATAATCATTCATTAATTTAAACTTCCTAATTTTAATATAAATCTATCTTAATATTCTCAATTATGTCATGCCCAACTAGCAATGACTTTCTAATGGCCCATAAGACAATTTAACCTCAACAGAATCCCACGTTACATCGGATTACTAAATGGAAAAATTCATAAATAGAACCCTAAGAAGCCCTCATACACAGGATAATATCTTGATGTGTTATGCATCACAATTGGCTCCTTAGCACTGATGAACTAAAGAGAAAAATGGCATTTCTTCAGTTTTTCAGCCGGGTCTCACCAAAGTACCAACATGGTTCAGATACACAGAAAGGCAACCCTTTCTTTACATATGAGAGAAGCTTGACTTCAGCGAATTGCACAAACAGGTAAAAAGTCACAACCCCTAAATATTCCGTAGCCCTAAGAGATTATTCCCAAGGACAAGGCTTAATAGCTACCACGGAATTTCATCTTTACAAATAAATCTGAAAATAAAAGCACAGCGCTTGGCAAAGACCGCAGCTTTTAGGTAACCCTGCATTAAAATAAGCTTAGAAGAAAACTTAAGAGAGCAAAAAATTTCAACTTTGGCGTCCTTCAACTACATCGCATGCGGATTTCTAAACAGTATTTAATTGAAGAAAATATAACTTTCGGCACCTAAATGGAATTCATGGCCACATTGCAGCTTGGCTATTGATCTCTCCCCTCGATCGAGCACAAATTCGAGGCAGATCGAGCAAGAGGGCGAAACGCTCCCTTTGCGATCCTCTGAAAGATCTGGCTTTTCGAGATCCATGTACTCCACCTCGGAACCACTCCTAAATCCCGAAGCGTTTCGGCTTCTAATCTTTCGCCGAAGATCAGAGCCCCAGGGTTAATCTCGCTAGTCGCTAGGCGAATCTAGGAGACCGGTGAGGGAGAAGAGCGAAGAGTCAGAGATAAAGGGCTAGACACGGGAAACTCTGAGACAAGTCAGAACTGTAAATTGGTAGGAGCGATTCCTTCAGGCAAAGCCTCCTACTTTTTCCAGGTCAAATTGTTCTGAATAACTGTATTATAAATACATTATATACATATATACAAAAATATTCCTCTTTAGATTATCAGTCAAAGCTTAAAAAATACTAAAATATTACTATTTATAGTATTAGATGGTTCTTTGAAAGTATTATAATTTTTTATATTATAAAATTTTTGAAAATAAATTTCTCAATTCCATGTTCTTCTCACTGAATTGCTAACCAAATAATTTAATTAAAATTATGAACTTTACTTTTTGAAATATGAACATATCTATATGTTTATATGTCAATCATAGATAAAAATTATGATAAATTTTTAAAAATTTTCTTTTATATATATTGTATATTTTTGATACGGCATGCGAAAATTAACTTGATCGGGCACGAATCTTGAGGCAAAAATCAAGTTGGAAACTTCAAAAATTAAATCCGTTGTTCCTTAAAAAATTTTTGATGAAAAAAATTAAGATTATTTTTAAAAAAGCTAATATGTGCCCCTAACAAAAAAAAATTCAATTCCCATCGTTGGATTTGGTGGTTTTAAAATGCATGTGTTTTAAAGATGTATGAGTTTATTTGGTTGCATCAAAATAAAATTAACCAAACAAATTTTAAAATTTTTTAAATGCATTGAAACATTGCCAACATTAGCGAGAAATTGCAAATCAGTGGAAACTTGTGATGTCACATAATTTAATTTGAAAAAATTATTCATTTACCTTTTAATAAACAATAATCAGAGCTATCTAATATCATCTATCAATTATAAACAACAGAATAAATTTTATAATTTAAAACATCACTGTACATATCTATATTCAATTCCAAAAATCATATACAATACTCAAGATCTATATAATCATATCATAACTATTATGTCTTGAATACAAAAGAATAACAAGATTAAAAAGAAACAAAATCTAACGAGCCTCACACTCATATAATGAGCTTAATTCAAAAAGTGTCAAAATATCCAAACGGTAAACAACAAAAATCATATTGAGCAAAAATTCACATTTTCAAAATTTTTAGAATTTTAACCAAATTATCATATATTGCATAAAATAACATTATGAAGTTTTAGTTTAACTAAAGCACTATTTTTGAAGTCAAAATAAATTTCTGAGCATGTAAAAATCATTGTATTTTCAAAATCACCAAATGAAAAATCTCAAATAAAACTTAAAATGTTCATAATTTCAATCTCTATAATGTATAAAAAATTATGATGTGAAAATTTTACCAATACAAAATTATTCATTTTTTTCAATAACAGAAACAGAATTTTGATAAAGAAAATATCAAAAACACAAAATCTTTGAAATAAAAATATGATAGATTTCTTACAGCGAGACAAGCAAATTTTCTAACTGGCCCGACGAACAAAAATCACTTCACGAGCTCCAAATCCGAGCTTTCATTTTCTATCTCTTTTATTTCTCTCTAATTCTCTTTAAAATTTTCTATATTAGCCGAATACTTAAAAGAGAAAAGGGATTTTAATGAAAAGCTTTAAGTGGGTTAAGATATTTTAATAATATAATATTTAATTTATTCAGCTCTTTAGTATAAACTTAAAATAAATCATTTCAGGACTTAAAAATTACAGAAAAAATAATCATAAAATAATTTATTTTATTTAAAAAATATTGGTGAAATCGGATAGCAAAATGGATATCTAACAGTTTCAAATTTCCAATTGTACCGACAAATGTCACCACATTGCAGCTTGGCTATTGATCTCTCCCCTCGATCGAGCACAAATTCGAGGCAGATCGAGCAAGAGGGCGAAACGCTCCCTTTGCGATCCTCTGAAAGATCTGGCTTTTCGAGATCCATGTACTCCACCTCGGAACCACTCCTAAATCCCGAAGCGTTTCGGCTTCTAATCTTTCGCCGAAGATCAGAGCCCCAGGGTTAATCTCGCTAGTCGCTAGGCGAATCTAGGAGACCGGTGAGGGAGAAGAGCGAAGAGTCAGAGATAAAGGGCTAGACACGGGAAACTCTGAGACAAGTCAGAACTGTAAATTGGTAGGAGCGATTCCTTCAGGCAAAGCCTCCTACTTTTTCCAGGTCAAATTGTTCTGAATAACTGTATTATAAATACATTATATTCATGTATATATATACAAAAATATTCCTCTTTAGATTATCAGTCAAAGCTTAAAAAATACTAAAATATTATTATTTATAGTATTAGATGGTTCTTTGAAAGTATTATAATTTTTTATATTAAAACATTTTTGAAAATAAATTTCTCAATTCCATGTTCTTCTCACTGAATTACTAACCAAATAATTTAATTAAAATTATGAACTTTACTTTTTGAAATATGAACATATCTATATGTTTATATGTCAATCATAGATAAAAATTATGAGAAATTTTTAAAAAATTTCTTTTATATATATTGTATATTTTTATTTAGATGAATATATTTTAAATTATCTGTTTTCAATTTGTTCCTTAAAAAATTTTTGATGAAAAAAATTAAGATTATTTTTAAAAAAGCTAATATGTGCCCCTAACAAAAAAAATTTCAATTCCCATCGTTGGATTTGGTGGTTTTAAAATGCATGTGTTTTAAAGATGTATGAGTTTATTTGGTTGCATCAAAATAAAATTAACCAAACAAATTTTAAAATTTTTTAAATGCATTGAAACATTGCCAACATTAGCGAGAAATTGCAAATCAGTGGAAACTTGTGATGTCACATAATTTAATTTGAAATAATTATTCATTTACCTTTTAATAAATAATAATCAGAGCTATCTAATATTATTTATCAATAATAAACAACAGAATAAATTTAATATTTTAAAACATCACTGTACATATCTATATTCAATTTCAAAAATCATATAAAATATTCAAGATCTATATAATCATATCATAACTATTACGTATTGAATACAAAAGAATAACAATATTAAAAAGAAACAAAATCTAATGAGCCTCACACTCATATAATGAGCTTAATTAAAAAAGTGTCAAAATATCCAAACGTTAAACAACAAAAATCATATTGAGCAAAAATTCACATTTTCAAAATTTTCAGAATTTTAACCAGATTATCATATATTGCATAAAATAACATTATGAAGTTTTAGTCTAACTAAATCACTATTTTATAAGTCAAAATAAATTTATGAGCATGTAAAAATCATTGTATTTTCAAAATCACCCAAGGAAAAATCTCAAATAAATACTTAAAATGTTCATAATTTCAATCTCTATAATGTATAAAAAATTATGATGTGAAAATTTTACCAATACAAAATTATTCACGTTTTTCAATAACAGAAACACAATTTTGATAAAGAAAATATAAAAAAAACAAAATCTTTGAAATCAAAAATAGAATTGATTTCTTACAACGAGACAAGTAAATTTTCTAACTGGCCCGACGAACAAAAATCACTTCATGAGCTCCAAATCTGAGCTTTCATTTTCTATCTCTTTTATTTCTCTCTAATTCTCTCTAAAAATTTCTATATTAGCCGATTACTTAAAAGAGAAAAGGGATTTTAAAGAAAAGCTTTAGGTGGGTTAAGATATTTTAATAATATAATATTTAATTTATTCAGCTCTTTAGCATAAACTTAAAATAAATCATTTCAGTACTTAAAAATTACAGAAAAAATAATCATAAAATAAATTATTTTATTTAAAAAATATTGGTGAAATCGGATAGCAAAATGGATATCTAACAGTTTCAAATTTCCAATTGTACCGACAAATGTCAATTTATTAAAGATTTTCACCGAAGCCCAAAAATTATGAAAAAAATCGTGCAGGTAAAATATTAGAATTAAAATACTATGGCGAAGATGGTTTGCATTTTAGAGTTATAATGACTCTAGAAAAAAAATTTAACTTTGATCAAAATACGAGTTATTACAAAACTGGTGGTGGGTGAGCAAATAGACGGGTTATAGTGGGCAGGATGGTGGTTGCATCAGCACGTAGGTGACATGCAATGTAGATGGAGATATGTATAGGGCAATAATAACTATCATGGTCCAAGAAGTTAAGGTTGGAGGCTATGAGTTTTATTTGCTTTAAAGCTGATATATCATCAAAAAATTATCTTGATTATGCATGAATCTCAACGCAAAGTTGAATAAAACTTTTTCTAAAGTTAAATTTGAGACCATACAAACTTCAATTTTACTAAACTTATAATCGAACTAAACATCTAAAAAAGACGAATCCAACGACACCAAATTCAATCTAATCTAAGCCCAAATGGATCTAAGAAGCGCATTTGAAAACTTCAAAGCATAAGTTAGATGACCATGTAATTTCTAAATATGATGTGCTTATAGTTGAATCGAGTGGCTCAATGAGACGAATCCAACAAGCCCAAGATAGTTGAATTATGACGTCATTAAGACATTGAAATTCAGATAAATGGTCCATGATAAAGGGAATCATATTGGCCGACCATCTGAAAGACTGAAACACTCTCAATCTACTTTTAACATTCTCTTAAAAAAATATAAATAGACCCCATATTCTTCACTAAAAGGGAAGAAAGAAGAAGAGGAAAAATAAAGAGAAATCTAAGATCTCTTGCCACCAAGTTTCTCCTTGACCATCGTCGAACCATTGCAATACTTCTTCTCAACCACCAACCATTGCCAGACTTCTGCTTTGCCATCAGCCGCCACCGTCACAATTAATTACTTACATGCATAAAGTAAATGTACAAAATGTAGAACATCATCAAGATTCAAAATTTTTCATCAAGCAAGACATAATAGTGGGTTGGTTTGTTCAGGTTGACAAGCATGTTGCCCCACATTTATATTGATCTTCATATGTACATTTGTTAAATAATGATGAATGCAAAAATCAATAATACCAAATGTTATGTTATTGTCTAAAGATTTGAGTATATTGAGATTGCTGCCCTCAAATTATCCTATAATTTTATTCATCGCGCTCTCAAGTCTATATGTGACCCGACCAATATAATTAGAGAAGATAACTCAATGCACAGTACAACTAAAATTTGTTAATTTACGAAAGTGATTGTGACGGCACAATCAAATTTAATCATATTAGAACCTAGCTCGCAAATTGTTTGAACCTTACTCAAATGTTGTTCAAACCTTGATCAATCATTGTTTGAATGTTGATCAAAGCTTAATCAAATTTGAATAGCTGTCTCAACCTTGATTGAACTTGATTCAAATATTATTTGATGATCATTCAAATCTTATTCAAATATTGTTAGAAAATATGATTATGCTTTAGGCAGGTTGGATAACTGTTTGAACAAGAATCAAGCAAGACGGGGTCTAACGAGTGATTAGTAATCCATGTGGCATAGATTCGTGACCTTCATTGCAATTTGAAGGGGCACTGGTCTACCATCTGCCAAAGTGGTAGAGTGGATCTCATAATTTGTGATAGGGGGATTTGGATTCGCGCGGCCCCTAATAAAAAAAAAAAACAAGTGTCATGTTTTTTAAATTTTTGTCATTATGGGTGTATAAAATTCCATTTTTTTAATTTGTTATTTTATTTATTCTAATAATGAGATATCAAGTTAAAATAATATAAAAAAATTAAAATTTTGTTCTAGAATAAATCACCATTATTAATCCTATTTCAAAATTTATAGTTGATATTATAAATACAGATTATTTATTAATATAAATTATAAATAACTAAATATAGTGTAGCATGTACTTACAAAATTTATATCAATGTTTTTCGAATAGATTTTAAAAATTTGAAAGAAAATATTTATCCAGTTAATTTAATTTACAAAAATCTAAAAATTTTTACCTAAAATTCACGTTCAAAATTTGCCTGTGTCAACGTACCCTTCAGTCTTCCTATTATTCTAAGCTAATATAAATACTTATACATACATATAATTCACCTATCTAATATCTAAAATATTAATATTACATACTTACCATTTAACTCACATTTGTTAAGTGAGAACCACCTTTAACCATAAACCTCGTATACCCTAGTAGCTGACTGCTTCGTTGTGTAACCCGCCTCCATCACCATAGTTGATTCAGACTTTCTGCAAAAGCTTCGCTCCCTCTAAATATTGCGGGAACTCCAAATCCCGGTGTTTTTGTCCGAAGATCTACGTCTGCTATATTTTATCTGTTCGATTCGCCATTCCATTTTCCCGATGGCTGCGTTGGCCGTCATCAGAAACCCCAGTTGTCGGCGCCTCAGTCGCTTCTCCTCGACCTACCTGTACCATTCAATTTGCCCGCGCGCTGTCGTAGGCCAGGAAACGCAGATTTTTTCGACCGAGAATGTGGGGAGGAATCTCGACGTGGGTTACTGGTGGCGGAGATCGATGGCCACCTTCACCCGGACGTAAGCTATTCTTATGTATAACTTCAATTGATGACTGCCTTGCCTCGTTTTCTCTTGGTATAATTTTTTCAGTTATCCTCTTAGAAACTGGAAAATTGTTTATAAATTTTTCTGTAATATACATAGTTTGAGGAGAATTAACTATAAAATTTCATATTATATCTAGCTATATAGTATCTTTCTCAAACTTGGAGGGTGGGAGCTACCCTAGCTCCTCCTGATTCCACCAACGTATAGATGGAAAAAAAAAAGTAAACAAAAATGGCTAGCTTTGCCTATTTGAAGAACTTATTCATTGATCTGAAAATGCAATGGAGATCTTGAGGGATGCTGCAGTAACGGTTTCCAATTTTCCGGATGTTCTTGCATACGTGGATGAGTGAACCCATATGGACGGTCCAAAGTTCAAATTTATATCTGATTAGGAAAGTAGTTGGAGCTGATGGTGTATTGTTGTAAATGTTCTACAAATATTTATTTTTTACATTCACCTAGAATAGTTTATAAATTGTAACATGCATCAATTACTGAAAACACCGTTAAAAAAAAGAATTTCTATCTTATCTTTTCCACATCTCTCTCTCTCTCTCACACACATTGTCTTTCTTAGCTATTTCCTCTATTCCACATAATATCATAGCTCATGTGGTATTACAAGTTGTCAGTCTTAACCCATCACTACTACATTCGTGCTCTGTCCAAGTTGTCCTACCTCGCTGTCTTGAAACCTTGGCCAGATCTTAGTGCACGCATCTTCTCTGATGCCATCTTACTAGTGGTTGACCTCTTTCATTCCCTCACCAGAGACCTTCACCACAATACAACACCATGGCCAATTGAGCTATTCAACCCTCTCATTGTTATCAGAATCAACAATTCCATCAAACTTATATCCATCAAATCAGTTGTCTTGAAACAAGGGGGGCTCACGTATTATATGCAAATTATTAAAATGTGCATTGATGAACTTGCCATCAATTTAAATCTGAAATTTAATTTCAGATTTAAATCAATTAATCCTCCCAATTAATGACAATTCAAAATTTGAATTTGAATTATCTTTAATTACTCCTTAATTTCAGATTTCCATTCTCTCTCCCCAAATTTATTTGGGCTTTAATTAATCTTGCCACCTAGGCAAGTATATGGCATTTATGTTTCACACCAGGATTACAAACCTTTCATGATAGATGATTTGGCCATGACAAGATGATTTTTCATTGGTGAATTATATGAGAAGTTGGTCAACAAACAACTCTGGTTGCATGTTCAACATTCCAATTCATCTCCTCTTCCAACCTCGGCAAATCCAACTACTTCTCTAAGCAAATTGGGAAAATTTATCAACCAAAACTAACGTAATGTCGCTGTCATCTCCTCTAGTTAGTGTCACAATCTTCCAACACCACCATACAAGGCGGACATCCCTAAGACCCTAACCTAGGCCTCCCTTGGGTTGTTGTTGGGGAGTTGTGTACTTGTGTTCAAGCCCGCATCGTTACTAAGTTTCGCATGTTTCGTCAAATGAATTTCACCTTGCAAACACTACCAATTTGAAATCAAACTCAATTGAAAAACCACTATTTGGCATTATGTCAATCACAAGCAAACTTGGCACCAACCAACATATGTGACAATTCTAGCTATTTTTTTGGTAGTGGTGCGTCACACCATGTTACCATCGACTAAAGTAATGACTTCATCATTTTTCCTTAGGCTGGATTTGGCAACATCGTGATTGGTGATGGAAAGGGTCTCCCTATAATTGCACTACTTCAAAATATCTCTATAGATCACCTTCTACTTTTTATTTATATATGTTCTTTGTGCCTCCACCATGAAATAATCTCATTTCTATCTCTCAATTACATCAAACCAATAATACCTAAATTGAGTGCTCACCATCTTCCTTTCTTGGGAAGGATCTTTGCACATGAGCAACGAGTTTGCAATGGCAAGCTAAGGATGCTATGTACAAGTGGTCAATTACTCCTATCAAAACTTCACCATCAGTAGCTTTCTCAAGTGCTAAAACCAATTTTTTAGAGAAACATTATAGAATAGGGCACCGTCTTCTTTCATTTTTGGACATCTTGTTTCGTACTCTCCTCTATAATTATCAAGACATTTAGATGTGAAATAAACTATAACTTATGTTAGTGCCATAAATATCATAAATTGCTCTTTTAAACTTCCTCCCCTATCACTTAGTTCCTATTAAAATTATATTTTTCTGATGTGTGGAGCTCAAGCATACCATATGTTGATAATTTTAAGTACAATGCTATCTCCGTTGACAACTTCACAAAGTATATATGGCTTTAGCCACTCAAAAGAAAATCACAAGTTTATGATATATATTTTTTTGGTTTTAGTTGTGAAAACTCTTTATTAGTATTACAAGGGAGAACATTTAGCATCCTCTTCCCTTTTATCTACTAGTGGCACCTATCATCTCATTTCCCCTCCTTACACACATGTACACAATTGGTATTTTGAATGTTTTCATTGGCTCATTGTAGAAAAAGGTGCATCTCTTCTCTCAAGCACTCACGCCTCTATATTATTGTATACCTTATCAATCTTCTCTCCACACATGTACATCATCTCCCCTATCCATATGCCAAACTTTTGGGTATTACTTTAAACTTCTTAATGTTTTCCATGGCTCAAATTTTATTCCTCTCACAAACTTGAACCTCGTTCATTATCTTACGTCTCTCATTGTTGCTCTCCCACTCAAAGCCCCTATCTACGTCCATAACTTATGTCCTCTTATGTCTACAAGACTCCTATAAATTTGTAGAATCCATTTTTCATTTCACTTTTTTTGATCCACTAGGATCGCCCTTCCTTTGTACATCCTGTCACCAGTGTTCTTTTGTTTTTCACATTTGTGTGACATACACATCATCTGCAATATCTCAACCTATACTCCTTTGTACACTCTCTCAACTGCGTTCTTTTTGGTTCTCTCGACTATCTCCACTCTCTCATGGGTTTTCATTTTAACGGTTTTTAGCCAATGGAATGTTTGGAAGATGTGCTAAAGTAAAATCTTTTTTCTTCCATGGAGCTGTGTCTGCTGGAAAGAAACGAGTGTAGTCTTAGATTCCCAAGACTATAATTCCTTGCTCACTGTCCCAACTACGCCTAATCGGCCTAATGTATTTCAATTTATAAAATTGTGACGAAGATGTTAACTGAATAGGATGATGTGGTTTTACCTTCTTTTCTAAAATTGGTTTATTCACCAGATGTTCAATATGCATTTATCAAAGAGACTATGTCTGATCAGAATTCTTCTTGGCTCATTGAAATTTTTTCCATAAGATAGAGTTTTTCTAGTGCTAAAAAGGGTTTAGGCTTTGAAAATAAGATATTGGAGAGGCCAATACTGACAGTAGCAGTTGGGATACCCACCCTTGAAGTTATAGTGCTTCAGATCTGAGGAATTTGGTTAAAATTTCCCCTCGTATAAATTTTCATCTAGCCTAATAATATGGGACCTTGGTGTAGAAGAAGCCTACGTCTCTATTCGTTGGTTAATGAGATTTATTTCTGATTGGTTAAAGATTTAGAGCAATAAAAGGGGATTCAGGCAAGGGTGTCCACTCTCATCTTATCTTGTTTATTTTATGCTCTCAGCTTATTGTCTGATTCCTTTGTTCAGATAGTCAAAGATGTGGGTATTAAAATGGCTTCCGCCTTCTCCTTTGATCTCTCAACCGTTTGAATAATATTTGCGATGATTGATTGTGATGACTTTTCCTGATGCTCTAAATGGCAAAGTTGAAAGATTACTCAACAAGGGACTTCTTTGCCTACTCCGCAATTGCGACCGGGACATGAAGATATATTTGATGAAGTCTTCAACCTGTTCGGCCTCTCGTGTTGTCACACAATCATGGATCCCCCCTCTCACCTCCCTTACCCCCCCTACACATAACGACCAAATACTCCCTTATCCTAGCCATCCCTAATGTGTATAATGCGACACCATGCCTCTCTCCCCTCTATGAACTACACCAGAAACCTCTTAAAATGAATAAAAACTCTCTCCCTTCACCTTGACACCTCTCCTATCAATGTTACTACCACCACTTACCAAAATAATACTCACAAGCCAATCACTAAAATAAACTTAATCACCGAACTTACTACATCCATTGACCTTCCTCTAACCATTGTGACTCGAGCCATCAAAGATATCAAGTGGCTTTAGAACATGTTAGAGGAGTATGATGCTCTTATTTGAGATGAGATATGAGACTTAGTTTTTTTAGATCCAACACAAAAGCTTATTGTCTGTAAGTGAATTTTTCACACCAACAATTTACTCGACGGATTTGTTGATAGGTGCAAGGTTTTTGTCGTTGCAAGTAGATTTCATCAATGCCTTGGGCTTGCCTCTCATGATATTTGTAGTCCAGTAGTAAAGCCCACCGTTGTTAAATTTGTTTTAAGCCTTGTTCTAAGTTGTGTTGTACTTGTTGACAATGAAATGTCAACAATGCTTTTCTCCAAGACACCCCTTTTGAGGATGTATTCATAGTATATAACCATAGGCTTCTTTAGTCATGATCATTATTTAAGTTACAAGTTAATCATTCATGGTACCACCATCTATATTCCCCGCTAGTCTCATCGTGGACATCCCCTTCTATTGCTTACATTAAAAACTTTTTAGCTATCCCTTATCTGTACGCCTATCTCAAATGCTTGGGCCAATCTGCCTTCCTCCTTTATATTGCTTACATTAAAAACTTTTTCAACTGAAATAATACTCCCTCCCTTCACCTCCAACGCCTCTCCTCCCTATGTTATCACCAATTCCAAAAGTAATATTCACTAGCCAATCACAATAATGAACTTAATTGACCAACTTATTACATCCTAAGACCTTATCCAACCTCTATGACTCAAGCCATCAATGATCTCAAGTGTCATTAGGCAATGTTAGAATGTGGCACTCTTGTTCCGAATGAGACATGGGACTTAGTTCCCTTAGATCCAACACAAAACCTTAGTGGTTGCAAGTGAGTTTCTATGCCAAGAATTTGCTTGATGGATCTATTGACATGCTCAAGGCTTATCCAGTTGCAAAGAGATTTGATCAGGCATGGAGTTGACCACAATGATACTTTTGGTCCATTACTAAAGCCCATCACTCTTATACTTGTTCATAACCGTTGTGCTTGGACTATTTAACAACTAGGTGTCAACATTCATTATCTCTAGGGCACTTTTTTGAGGACTTATTCATGATACAACCATAGAGCTTCTATGATCATTATCAACCTCGTCATGTAGGCAAAGTTTGTAAGGCAATTTATGGTCTTAAACAAGCTCATGGAGTCCAATATCATGACTTGCGTCCATTTTTTATCACCTTAAGTTTCATCAACTTTCATGCAGATATCTCTTTATTTATCTTCAACAACTTTGATACTATGTACAATGTATTGGTACATGTTAATCTTTGATGTCTTTGCCACATTGGGAAGACATGGGCTTCCTTGGTAACACATAACCAAGTTGTAAGTCCCAATTTCAACATCTCCTCTACCACATTAAGGAGATGCCTGGGCTTGCTTGATCTGATGTGATTAAACTGTGAGCCCTATTATTCTTATCATTCCATTCCATTCTCTATATCTCCTTCAACATATTGAGGACATTTAGTAGCTCCATCATATCTTTTATGTCTTTTCTGCCTCATTGAAAAGACATATCAGCTTTCTTGGATATACGGGATCAAGTTGTAAGTCTTATTTCGATACTTTCTCTACGACGTCGAGGAGAAGTTCGGGTTTTCCTGATCATACATGACCAAGTTGTAAGTCTCATTTAAAAATCAGCTCTATCATATTCAGGAGATGGTGTAAGCCCCACTCATTGGATGTCTTCTCTATCATATTGAGTTGATGTCCATATCTGTCCCATCTTCTCTACTACATTGAGATGTCTAAATTTTTTATATTTATCCTATATTCTTTATCACATTGAGAAGATAGTTGACATTCGCGATGCCATATGATTGAGTTATAAGTCTCATATCGAGGGTCATCTCTAGTACATGGAGATGATACTCTTCTATCCTACCCGTTAGCATTAGAGCCTTGGTAGTCTTGTCAGCCTTGGCATGTATCACTATATAGTATTATAAGTCCTATTTGAGTTCCTCTCTCATATGATAGTGGAGTGTATTTCTTGACTATTGGCCTAAAATTATGTTCACACCCTTAGTTTATAATCCCCTTGGATGTGGTAATCAATAATTGCTTACAGGGATCTTCGGTTTACCACATGATTTAGTAGACCAAGTCACCAAGGGCATTGACGAACCCGAAATGTTTGAACCATGGATCTTATTGTACCCACTTGGTACATCAACTCACTTCTTTTTTGACAGGTGCTGCCAAGTGACACTATATGTCTGATCTTAAGCATTTCCTAATTTAAATGTAGAGTTATAAGTCTCTCTTTTGTGCCCTTTTTGTACTTTTGAGTCTACATTTCTTGATTCCTAGAACGTTCATCCCTTTATCCTCCGTAGAGTCTCATAAGACCCATTCTGACATTGACATGAACAAACATACATCGAACCTATATTATTTGAATACATGCATTGAATATTTAAGTGAGAGTGTTCTCAGACACACTTGGGACGTAATTATCCACTAGGAGCTTGCTCCTTTGGAAACTTAGACCCCCAAAATTAAAATGAACCCTGAACCACATTTCTTAGAGGAGAAATTTCTATGATAGATATACTTAATATGTCCTCAATTGATCACAACGGGCCTATAGAGCATATTGATCAATTACAATAAGTTGTTTATTGTAGTGCCACAGGAGTCTTTTGAAGCCCACAATTGACAATTTTATTATTGTGGGTGAGAATGATGGGGTTGTTCAGAAGTTCATCCAAATAGTTGCTCATCGATTTTCCCTCAAGGATTTTGGACAATTGAATTTATTGGTGTTCAATTCATGCTCGCTCTTAAGACTTAGCATGTCTCAGTTCCACACAAAGGATTTGCTTACCCTAACATGTATGACAAATGCAAAACCAATTCTTACACCAATTGACAATGCTACTATTTTTACTTGTCACTCTGGCACGATACTATTTGATCCCTTTGCTTATAGCACCATTGTTGGTAGCTTGTAGTGCCTGTTGCGCTCACGCCTTGACATTTCCTACATGGTTAATAAGCTCTCTAAATTCACGCACCAACTTAGTTATAGTTATGATCGCTTGATTGCTATTGAAAGCCTTTTATGCAATCTTTGGGGAACCTTGAATCATGATATTTTTCTCTATCATCACTGCTCTTCCTTTATGCATTCTCCTATATAGATTGGGCAACAACAAAGATGATTTCACTTTTAGAAATGATGCCTATCTATTTACCTTGGTCACAGTTCTATAGCTTGGAGCTCTAAGAAGCAATGCATTCTGACTCGCTCATCTATTAAGGTTGAGTCACTATGCTACAACCTCTTTAATTGATCTTTGTTTGATTTACTATGTTCTTAGTGAACTCAATGTTTCTCTTCCTCTAGTGGTTTATTATGATAATATTGGTGCTATAGATTAATTTTTTATTCAACTTTTTATTTCCACATGAAAAATGTTGCCTCAGACTATCAGGTCATTTGCTAATAAATTCAAAGTCGCACCCTCCAAGTAACTCATGTTTATACTAGAAATTAGTCGACCAACACTCTCACTAAACAACTTTCATGCCTACGCTTCGTTATCTTGAAGATCAAGATTGAACTCTCATCTTTTTTTTTTTTTTTTGAAAATGATTGAACTCTCATTTTGGAGCTACATTTTACTGGGGCATAATAAAAGAAATAGATGAGCAAAGATGGTAGGTAAGCGGCAGCAACAAGGAATTTAGGCTGTCATGGATGACATACATGGATCAAAAACCTAAAGAACAAATTCAGAATGTCCATTATGTAAACATGGATCAGCTACCTCCTTTGGAAAATCCTAAATTCAAATTTAAATCTGTTTAAACTTTAAAGCAATTCGAGTCAATGATATATTGTTGTGAATGCTATATAAATCCTTCCTGTTTACATTTTCCTAGAGTAGTTTATAGATTGTAACATTCGTCCAATGCTGAAAATAATAAGAATTTCTACCTCTTCTGAACATCCATTCCGTTCAGTTCTTGTATTAGTCTTAGGATGCTCCTAACCAAATATGTTTTTCTTATGCATTAATTACTGGTGTCTGGGCTGAAACTAAAATGACATAAGGTAAACATGGGCATGCGTGATTTGGAATATCAACTGTTTCTTACTTGTCTTTTTACTTTTGTAGGAAGCCACATGTTAACGTTGGGACTATTGGGCATGTTGATCATGGGAAAACTACTTTGACAGCAGCTATAACTAAGGTTAAATTTTCTTTGAAATAATTTATTTCGTGATTTTTTATGGCCTTTTTGTCCATTTGAGAAATAAATTATTTTCTGTACATGAAAGCTTATGCGTATTAAAGTGATGATGGTAAAGTTTTTTTTTTTTTTTTTTTCTGTTTTTCTGCTTAGGTATTAGCTGAAGAAGGAAAAGCCAAGGCTGTTGCTTTTGATGAAATTGATAAGGCTCCTGAGGAGAAAGCCAGAGGAATTACCATTGCCACGGTCAGAATATGTAATTATTTATATATACTTAACATACATGGGTAGAGAAATGATTTTTTTTTTTAAATTCAAACTGCACTGTCTCAGTGCTTATGTGGAGATTGATTTGATTTTGCAGGCTCATGTGGAATATGAGACTACAAAAAGGCATTATGCCCACGTAGATTGTCCTGGACATGCAGATTATGTCAAAGTAAGTTGCATTCATGTGTAGGTATTGAATGATTCGATAGATTGCAAGAAATTGTTTAGAGGGAAATTCAAATTCTATTATATTCCTTGGAATTATTACATATGTATGCATTCTAGTAGAATAAACAGAAAAAAGGATATTTAATCTAATTAATTATAATAAAAAGAAGAGAAAAGATATTTAATCTAATTAATTATAATTATCATATCCCACGGATCTCCAACTGCAGCCCTCTAATTGCTTCCCACGAATCTCCAGCTGCAGCCATCAGATTGCTGCCCACGGATATCCAACTGCCTTTAGATGAAATGTTTCCAAGCTTTTCATACAAATAAGCAAAGGTGCAACAATCTTAACAAAAGCTTAGTTGTAATGTTTCTCAATATCTAAAGCTATGCATAAAGCCTTATGCATAATTTTTGGTGAATTGTAGTTTAGTTCATGCATAAGTTCTCATTATAGACCTTTAGTGAAATAAATAACATTGGCAAAATGGATTAAAGATGAATAATATTTAGCCGCATGATCTATAAATCTTACATAATGCTCAAACACATGATTTATATTTTGTTTATAGTTCTTTATTTGATAATGCAGTTCATATTTCTATCCACCAAATTATAAAAATTGTTTTTTAAGTTTATATTTTATATCAACTCATATAACTTGGTAGCTCCACTTCTTTAAAATAATTGTGCATGTCCTACTACTTTTGATGTGACATATTCAAATATTTGGGAGTCAAACAAATTTCATTTAAAAAAAAAATCAAATTATGGATCCAATTTGAAGATTTTTTAAGGTCATATCTCAAATCAAATATATAAATGTAATTTTGAACCTCCTAATAGTTTTGCTTGGCCCACTTGATTTTTTTTAAATTGCATCATTAATTAAATTTTTTTTGGCACAGTTGATATGTTCTATATTTATTAACATGATGATATAATTATATGCTCTAATGTGAGCTAGATTTAGGATGGTTAATGGTAGAAATTTCCTAATGCAACTTAAATGAGGCAATGCATATAGATCACACAAGTAAATTTGAGGTTCATAGATCACAAACCACTATATATGCAAAAATTAATCTTTTTGGATGTAAATCCATAATTCCGAGAGTTAGAATCTAAATAATAATGATAAATCAAGTAAATTTAAATAAATTTATGTAAATTTCGAATCGCACTAAAAACAAGGAGCAAATTGCAATTTATTCCCCATAATTAAAATCATAGATGTGTCGAATTTAAACAAAATTTAGAACACTTGCATGCTAATAACAAGGTATGCATAAGAAATTATGTCAAAGAAGAATTTATGGGTGTAAGAAATCCAAGCCTTACGTCAACATAAGGAGATGACTTTTGTAGAATTTGGCAATTTTGCTTATGCATAACTCAGAAGTAATCACACATAAATCTTGCACACACTTAGAAATTAAAAAAGAAAATAAAATTAAATCATAGTTATTCGACTACACGCCTCAAATAATCTTTTTATAGCTACTCATCCTCAGGTTAGTATTTATGATTGACACAAAATAAACCCAATTAAATTTCAGATGGTAATCAAATTCAAACATGTTTTATACAAAACTCAATTATGAGACAACAAAAATAGAAACAAAAAATTTCTAAAAATAAAATGCAATTTGAATGGATAAGTAGGTGATATTACGCTTGAGGCAATTGCTAGAGAACTAATCCTTTTCTCAGCCTAATATTTACCCCAACATTAATATGTTTTGCATGCATTAGAATGTTGGAAATGATGTGATGTGGACGGTATGTTGGCTATTGCTTTATTGAGTTATTTATGGTATCTAAAGTTTGATTTAAATTAAGTACTGATTCATTGTAATGGGAGGAATTTGACCTAGGCTCTAAATACAAATTGGAGCACTAGATCGAGTCCTTTTTTCGGTCTTCATTCTACCTACAGCCATTTCTTTTGTCAGCTATATTTAGAAAACTTGGTGAAAAGTAGTTGTTAGCTTTATATAATTAAATTTTAATTTTTTTAAAAGTACTTGGTGAACTTACCTTGTTATATTTAGCTACTATATGCTTAACTGCTTGACTTCTATTCGTTAGTTCATACCAAATTGTAAAGGGAGGACTTTGACCCGGACTTTAGTTTGCTAAATAGGAATTAGAGCTCTAGATCGAGTCCTTTTTTTGGTCTTCATTCTGCCTATAGCAAATTCTTTTGTTTGCTACATCTAAAAGTCTTGGTGAAAAGTAGTTGTTCGCTTTATATAATAATTTTTTTAATACTGTTAAAAGCATTTGGTGAACTTTGTTATATTTAGCTACTACATGTTTTACCTGCTTGACTTTTAATCGTTAGTTCATACCAAATTCATTCTATGTTTTTTTTTTTTTTCTGCTTTTTGATGTCTTCATATGTTGCAGTGTCTCACTTTTTTTGCAAACCATTAATTGCAGAATATGATTACGGGTGCTGCCCAAATGGATGGTGGCATTCTTGTTGTATCTGCACCTGATGGACCAATGCCACAAACAAAGGAACACATCCTTCTTGCTCGGCAGGTAACAATTATTTTATTATTTCATTTTTGATATTTTTATATCTTCATAAGAAGTTTAGTTGCTGAAGTCCATTTTCTCTTACGAACTTACCAATTACTTCTTCTCTGCTATATAGGTCGGTGTACCATCACTTGTGTGCTTTCTAAATAAGGTTGACGCTGTAGATGATCCTGAGTTATTAGAGCTTGTTGAGATGGAGCTCCGTGGTAACTTGTGGCATTTGGGTTCTTCTATGGAAAAATGAGTTAATCCATCATTTTGTAAATATAAGAGTTCTGCTGTTATTTTGTTTTGATCAGAGTTGCTTAGCTTCTACAAGTTCCCTGGTGATGAAATTCCAATTATCAGGGGTTCAGCTCTCTCTGCACTACAGGGTACTAATGATGAAATTGGAAAGCAAGCCATCCTAAAACTAATGGAAGCTGTCGATGACTACATACCAGATCCCATTCGCCAACTTGATAAACCTTTCCTTATGCCCATTGAAGATGTCTTTTCAATTCAGGTATATTCTACTTTAATTTTCATCATATGTTTTATGTTTTAATTATTGAACTTCCACTAGGACCATCTTCTTTAATTATCAGCATTTTGTTTCTATGGTCACTTATAGGAAACACTTGAAGATCTCAAATGAAACCTAACGATCTTGACAAAAACAACGAGGATGATCAACCAATTCAAAGGAAAAACCGGAAAAAAATAGTTTTTATTGGAATAATCAAACCAACAGAAGGAAAATAACTAGATACAATTGATCCTCTATTCGAGAAGACCTGTCTCTCCCAAATCTTTAGACGCCGCTAGAGCAAAAAAAAAAACCTAAATCTAAGATATCTCAAATTCAATCAAAATTCAAGATGCTCTAACCCTAGGAAAACAGACTATCTAATGCATGCAATCCAAAAAGAAATCTCTAAACAGTCCCTACATTCAAATTTTCCTCATAACTCCCCAAAAAATCATTCCAAAACAGTGCGGTTTGGCTTGGGCGTGCGATCGGTGCGTACAGGAGGTGGACATTCTCCGTGTGTTTCACACGGGCCGGTCCCGTAGGACCGGCTGGACCGGTCCAATGGTCTGGTCTAACAATACTCCCCTCCTAAAGACCCACATTGTCCTCAAGGTGGAAGGATGAGACAATGTTGATAACTTTCTTCAGCTGCTCTGTTAGTGGCCATGTTATCGTCCACTAGAACCAAACTAGTGCTTTCCCCTCTAGACATAGTCATGCAACCGTAAACTTCTCCTCAGTCAGCCCATTCACCATGAAATACATATCCACCCTATACACCCACCCATAAGCATCCTCCCTTTTAAATACTGGCATCCTCAACTTCCTCACCTTAGGATTGCTACCACCCTAGTAGCTTCTTCCTCCATATTTTCTCCCATGTATCGAGGGTGGGAATCACATATTCCTTCCCTTCGCCTCACATGACCCGATCCCCATGGTTCGGCCTGCCCCTCTCCTTATGTCGTCCACTCTTCTTGCCCAAAAGACCTCCCATAGTGGCCGACCACCCCACCACCTTAATCACACAACTCCCTTCTTGCTATCCCCCCATATGATAATCCTATTCCGCCCCTTATCGGAGCCCTAAGAGATGGCTCTTGACCCCCTCCTCCGATGGCACACTCCTCTTGCCCAAAATGTCTCTCATAGTGGTCAGTAGGGGTGTAAGTGAACCGAGCCGGCTCGCGAGTCAGCTCGAGCTCGACTCGTTTATAGGCTCCCCCCCCCCGCTTATCGAGCTCGAAAGCCGAGCTTATCGAGCTCACGAGTCGAGCTCGAACTTGATACGACTCGGCTTGTGAGCTCGTGTGCCAGCTTGAATAATTTTTAGGTTTTTTTTTTAATTAAGTAAATGCTATTTTTATTAAATTTGTGGCTGTAGTTAGTTTTTCAAAATATATATTAAAAAAAAGGTTAAACTGCAACTATAAGTTTCCAAAAACATATTTTATTGGAATATGTTTGCAAGAAAAGATGTTGTCAAATCTCAATGTATTAAATGCTTTATATAAGATAAAATAAAAAAAACTGGTGCTGTAGTGCCATTGGACTCGGACCACTGGTCTCTCAAACATGTGGGCACCTTTTATCCAAGGGAAAAAGCAATGAACCCCTCAGGAGTTTGCAGTGCAGCGTCACACGTAAATTTCGAACCGCTCATCATCTGCAGTGTGCGCGCTGGTCGAGGGCGGGAAATTGCGAATGGCGGGCAGGAAATCGAAATTGAGCGGCTCGACGAGATCATTTCTATGTCGCGAGTCAAGTTCGAGCTCTACTCGAGTTCGAGCTCGATGTTTGACTTGTGAGTGGAGCTCGAACACCCCCTAACTCGAGCTTGACTCGACTCGTTTACACCCCTCGTGGTCGGTCGCCCTACTGCCTCCATCAAAAGATTTCCTCTTTGTTGTCCCCTCATCCAAAAATCCTGATCCACTCCTTATCATAGCCCTAGGAGGTGGCTCTTGATGAAAGAAACTCCCCTCGTCAAACACTTCTTGTCCGATCTCTTTCTCCTTCGATTTGGCCAAGGGAATCCCGCTCAAATCTTGGTTAGGGTTAGCCATCTGAACCACCAGTGAAGTTTTTTTTTGCATCTCCAAGAGCTTTCTTAACATCTCCTCCGTGATCTCTACATCGTTTTCCATCCTACGAAATTCAGAATTCGTCGTTCTTCCCACCGGTCCCTTTGTCTCTGATGCCGCCGTTTTAATTTGATTCTCCAATAGCTTCTTCACCATCGCATGAAGCTCAAAAACTTTGTCTTCCACGGATGAAATTTGATCTTCCACCATCGCTTTAATTTGGCTCATCTACTCTTCAAAGCGTTCTTCCAACACATCTACCTTCTCGGCCGCCATCAATATCCAGATTTTTATAGTCAAGAAAAAAAGCCTAGAAACGGTCCCAAAACCTGCTCTGATACCAATTTGATAAGAAACACATGAAGATCTCAAGTGAAACCTAACGATTTTAACAAAAACAATGATAACGATAAACCAATCCAAAGGAAAAATCGGAAAAAAAAACAATAGTTTTTATTGGAATTATCAAAACTAGCGGAAGAAAAATAACAAGATACAATTGATCCTCTATTTGAGAGGAGGATCTCTCTCCCAAATCTCTAGGCGCCGTTGGAGCCCAACAAAACCTAAGTGTAAGAGATCTCAAATTCAGCCAAAATTCAAGAAGTCCTAACCCTAGGAAAACAAACTATTTCATGCATACAATTCAAAAGGAAAATTCTAAATAGTCCTTGCATTCACATTTCCCTCCTCCCCTAAAAAATCCTTCCAAAAAAGTATGATTTGGCCTGGGCGTGCGATAGGCGCGTATAGAAGGCGGACATTCTCCGTCTGCTTCGCACGGGCCGGTCCTGTAGGACCGGCTGGACCGTTCTAACAATCACATTGGCCCTATACACACTAGGAATCATCTCCCTTGTACCAGCACATCAGCTATTTTGCATCAGCTCAAATTTTGGTATGTGATAGATGAATGTAGCTTATGACTATAGTCGTATGGAAAAGCATTCAACGATGGAAATAAAAGGTATCCACGATGATCTCTTTCATACGGTACTAAACAACATCTATATTTTTTGGATCCAACTCTTAGGTGGGAAAGAGTTCACCAACAATCAAATTTAGTGCCACAAAAATGAGAATGTCATGTGATGAATTTTTTGCACGAGAAAGGATAATTCAAAATTATTGCATTGTGGTAACTAGTAAGTATGAGAGATTCAAATATTGAAGATATGGCTATAAAAATAATTTTAGATGGTTACAACAAAATTTAACATTGAATTTCTTTCGTTATTTTTTATTTGAATTTTAGAACTAGATGTCGACCTTATGTTGACAACCTCAACCTATCTGATTCGGGCTAGTGATCTATAATGAAGATAATTAAAAAAATTAAATGCTACAGAAACAATAAGAAATAAATGAATATTATCAAAACACATTCTTTGGTATAAAAATAAAAATAGCATTGGCCAATTAATTATTACATTTTGGAAGACCAAAACATAGCTCTCCTAGCACCCATTTCAAGGTTCTTTGTGTTAATATCCTAGTTGTTCTGCATGGGTGTTGCTTGCAGAGCAGAAGATCCATGCTATGCATGGTAAATGTACTAAAAAACAATCATGTGATTAGGACTGAAAGGGTATAAAATGATACTCTTGCATACACACTTCTCTGTTTCTGCTTGCATGTTAAGTTGTTTTTTCAATTAATTTATTTTTATTTTTATATGCAGGGACGTGGAACTGTTGTAACTGGTCGTATTGAACAAGGAACAATAAAGACTGGAGAAGACGTTGAAATTTTGGGGTTGATGCAAGTAAGTAGCAATTAGTGCGTTAAGTCCCACTTTTTTAGATTTTCTAGTTCTGTTGTTTATTTTGGGCTTATATCTTCTTCAACTGGGGTCAAACCTTAACTTATTTGGTTAATTTTGTAAAAATCTAAAGCCACACTAATGGAAATCTCAGAAAGATAAAGCAAGAAACGATAACTGCCCAATAAATTTGCTTGACATGAGCGTAGCCAATCAGATTCCTCTTAAGTGAATTACAGTTTTTTGCAAAACTAAGTTTAATACATATAGAATAGTAGCATCACTATTTTGGGTTTGTTGTCTTTATAGAAAATGACAACAAATAGAGAATTGTGATTATATGAACTTATATTCTTAACTTTAATGTAAATTAGACATTGCTTTGGCCCATCATGTAACGACCCGACCCGGATACTCGAACTAACGAGGCGGGAACTAGCAATCGGACGATTAAGACAATTACTATTCTTACTTATAACAATAAATTCTAATATTTCACAAACACTGAAGAGCCACTAATAAAATTTTTCACAAATATTTAACCTTTGTATAAATCATAATTTACCTTCTTGCATTTGTACGTCTTTTTCTGTAGACGTATTTCTCTCCTCCTTCAGTCATTTTTTTTTTCTCTGGAGACTTACCTGAAAGTTTAGCTGAATAGGTTGAATTTACAAAGTAAACTCAATGGGTAATCTTTATATATATAATACTTAAACATGTATTAAAATACAATGAATGATATCTTTCTCATTTCTCATTTCTTATATAATATTAAAACATATCTAACTTTTGATGTATATATATTCATATACATATATTTTTAATATCATTTTCATTTCATTCACTCATTTATTTATACATTTCATATATTTTTCAACATTTATTCTATTCCAATTCATTTATTTCATGAGCACCGTCTAATGTATCAATAAAGGTACAATCATTTCTATTTTTTTCCATTTCCATTTAACGTGCACGAGTATATTGCTTTCCCAACCAATACCATACGTGGTCGCTCCTATAAGTTTTAACTGGCAAAATTTAATACTCTTAGGACCATGTGAGGGTTGGAACTTAGAACCGTTGTGAAGGGCCTAAGTGGAGTCTAACTTTGTACTTAGATGAATGATTTTTGAAAAAGATGAATCCACGTGAATGACCTACCATATAAATGCAAGTTACCTTTTTTTTTCTCTCAATGATTTCTAGTAATGCCTGTCCACTTATTGCACCATTCAACATTTGCCCTTGAACTTATGGGCTGCACAATATTTTTAGTTAAATTTGCTCTTCATGCTGAGCCCTATAATGAACAAAGCTCAATTATTCTGGATATACTTTCTCTTTGCTGCTCCTTCTTTGTTTGTTAAATTATGCATCTTAGTGTGAGATGCCTATCACAATGGTGCTTCAAGTAGCTGTTAAATTATACTAATAATATTTTTACCTGGATTAAATTTTGTAGAATGTGGTTGACATATCTTTTTGTGCCTTCAATTGATATACATTGGTTATGAGACGTATTTTGTTGATAATATACTTAGGTTGTGTGAGGTATTTTCTGAAAATCTTTCCTAAAGCTATACTGCAATCCGCATTACTCTTTTCTTACATGCTTTTTTCAAGCATCAAGCTTTGTTTTCCTTGGTCAAATGTGTTCTGTACCCTGTCCGTTATTGGTGAAATCACTTATTGGCATGTGCTACAAGTTAATGCTGCCAAATTCCTCATCTGTGCTATAAAATGAAAAATTTTGTTTGTGATGTCTAATACTTGGTTGCCAAATTATTTATTAATCATTATGGTTGAACATTTAGTAGTTTTATTAATCTTGTGGCATAATGAAGAGTCTGGCCATCTCTAAGACAACTAGTTTGGAAGCAACTTAATTTCTTTTTGTACGCATATGCCTAATTAGGCATCACAAAATGGGACATGATTCTCAGGAGTCTTCACTGATCATCTTCATCTTATAGAAATCTTTGCTGATATATATTAGAACTCAACAGCTCAGGTCAATTGGAAGAACTTTTTCTATTCAGTATAATGAAGCATGAAGCATTTGAATAACAAGGAACATGAAAGCACTTGAATGTGAATGGTGTTTGCACGCTTGCCTCTGAACTGTCTTTATATACCTAAAGTTTTATAATACTAACATGACAGGGCGGTCCTTTAAAAACTACTGTAACTGGTGTAGAGATGTTTAAGAAGATATTAGATCATGGGCAGGTATGCTGAGTTAAAAATGTTTAGTTTTCTCTCGGAGCTACAATTTGCGTTAAGTTTGAATTTCTGTGTATGTAGGCTGGTGATAATGTGGGTTTGCTTCTCCGCGGTTTGAAACGTGGGGATGTTCAGCGGGGACAGGTAAATAATTCAAATTTTTTTCTCCTTTGTAATAAAACAGAGCCGAATACTAGCTTTAAGAGGATGAACCATACATTTTTTACCTAAATGGTGTTTTTGTTTCCTTTCTAATCCTCAAAAGAAAATATTTTATTGTTTATTATCTATTATGGATCGAGCACAAGCATTGATTCCATGTTGAATTCAGTGTTAAGAACATTCAATTGGATTTGTTTTTTAATCGTACTTCTAGGATAGTGGTTTGGATGATATTCTGAGATACCATGCTTATTTTTTACACCAACATAGGTTGTCTGTAAGCCCGGTTCTGTGAAAACCTACAAAAGATTTGAGGCAGAGATTTATGTTCTCACGAAGGATGAAGGTGGTCGCCATACTGCTTTCTTCTCAAATTACAGGCCTCAATTTTACTTGAGAACTGCAGATGTTACTGGCAAGGTGGAATTGCCTGAAAATGTTAAGATGGTGATGCCTGGTGATAATGTCACTGCAATTTTTGAACTGATATCACATGTTCCTCTTGAAGCAGGTAAAGTGCATTTCTTTGTCTTAAAAAGCAACTACATATAAGATTACAGTTTCGTTAATTGCTTCCTTGTTAGCATTTTAGGTGATTCATACTCCTGATCTCTTGGAGGAAAGCATCTGGTGCTTCTTCCAAACTGTTTTTTTTTTTTCTTTGAACTTCAATGGTCTTCATATGTCGTTGGCAATCCCACACCAAACAATACTGATCTGATGTTGGACTAAATGCTTAGGCAATATCATATAAGAATTTGCACGCTTTTAGATGAGAGCAATATTAAATATTGAACTTATAGAGATTTAAACAACGACAGAAAATGAAGGAGGGGTGAATTCAATTTAGGCCAAGTCACTACTAGAAGTTAAGAGCACAAAATAATCAATTATTCAAACATAGCATACATGGGGGATTTCAAAGGAAATTCCAATTTTAACAATAAGATTAGGCACCATGTGAGCCAACTCACTCACTCTCTAGACTAGTAGGTTTATTGGAGGGAGTTAGCACTTAGCACGAACTTTATGAATCAATTAGAGCCACAATTGAAGGCAATTAGGAAGATTAAGATTTGGAGGAAGAGTTCACCTTTGTCAAGTTATTAGGCTTGATTTGAAATGCGAGGAGGAAGATCCGAGTTTTGGAGGCTGATTTCGAGGAAGTTATGCTCGAGGACAGCCGTATGGAGCCTTCCGGGCAGCAAACAGGAACCTTTTAGATGTGGGACAGTAATAGAAACTTGCTGGAACATCTGGACAGCAGTTAGGAATCTTTAGGACAGCAACCGGGAACCTTCCGGAACAGCAAGTGGGCTACTTTTGGAATGCAGGGCAGCAGTTTTCCTAAGTCAAGAACCTCTAGCTATAGTGTAAGGCGGAGGGAAAGTAAATTTTGTTTGGGAGGGCTAGGGGACTTTTGGTTCAGATTTTAGTGGAGAAAGGGGAGGAAAATTTGAGTTTCAAATTCCTAAATTAGTTGTGGAAGGGAGGGAAAGGGGTTACTTAATTCCTTAATTGAAGTTCCAATCTTGGGAAAGAATTAATTAAAATAGGAGAGGGATGGGTCCGGCCAAGAGCGAGGTTGGTTAATTAATTCCTCTAATTGGATTTCCAATTGGGGAATTAATTAATTAATGAGGGAGAGAGAGGGGGCCGGCCAAAGAGGGAGGGGAAGGGAGTTGTCCAGTTTCAATGAATGTGTAAAACCCAAAATTTGATGATCGTAGTCGTCGCATGCATTTCGATGCGTCGTGACAAAACTTAAGTAAAAAATTAAAATTAACGAATTTTGACGAAAATAATTTTATAAAATTCTACGTAAATTTCTGAACGATTTGATATATAGAACATATAGTTAATTTTGTGTATTTTGGGAGTTTTAAAATTTAGAAATATAGATATACCCAAACTACCCCTAATCAAATAAAATGCCGGAATTGTTTAAGTGAGGGCATATGGGTCATTTTGGAAATCCCTATTTCCCTAAATAGGGAAAATCGAAACCCCCTTCCCTTATTCCTTTTGTTCGGCCTAGAGAAACGAAGGAGCAGACGTGTGAGGCGTCGGGCAAAGGCGACGGGCACGGCTTAGGCAAAGATTTTTCGACAAAGAAACTAGTGGAAATCAAAGAGGAAGTCAAGGGAAGAAGAATGTATGTCATAGAATCTAGATTTTTCCTCTCAATCTCAAGATTTTTGGAAATGAAAATATTAGGGTTTTTCCAAAATGTTAGTTTCTTCCAAAACTTCTTTACGAAATCGATAGGGAAGGATTAGGGAAGTGTTTTAACAGTAGAAAAGAAGTTTTCTTTGAGAATTTTTGGAAATAAAAAATTAGGGCTTTTACTTAAAATTTAATTTCCTTAAGGTGCTTTTATAAAAATGGTTTCTAAGGGTATTTTTAAAATAAAATTTTGAGTTTTTTTAAGAAATTTTATTTTTCATAATTTCTAATTAATTAAATCCAAAAATTAATAAAGTAATTATCAAGATATGTTTAGGGAAAATTTTGGCTTATTAAATTGATAAAATTGAGTATTTAGGATTTTATAAAATTAAGGATTTTAATAAATTCAAAAAATTAAGATTAAGTTATTTTAATTTTCCTAAATGTCGTAATGATTGAATAATGAAAAGGGAAGTGTTTAGACAATTAGGAATTTCATTAAATCTTCCTTAAAGTTTAATGAAATTCCTAATTGTGACATATTTTTTATGTGATTATTAGGTTGTAATTTTTAAGATGGACGAAGTGTGTCAAAGCGGCACTTTGAGGAAGTGTTGTACTTGGATTAAGGTAGGTACTCATATTATCATAAAAATTTAATGTATTATTTTGTCTTCCTTTTTATGCAATTTTAAATGTTTAAGGTTTTAATGTTCAAATGATTTATGAGTTCTTTTTTTAAAATGACATATTAGTATAATATTTTTATATTACAATAGATTGTTAGACTTACATGTTATTTGTGATTCTCATATTTTGAGTTAATGATTTTTGAGTCACAATTATTTTTTCATTTCACATATGATTGATTGAACATATATTATATATTATGATATGAGACTTTGCAACATGATGCAGAGTGACTAAATGGTAAAGGGCTCGAAAGAGCTAAATGGTAAAGGGGCTCGTTAGAGTCAATAGTAAAGGAATGACCAAATGATATGAAAATGTGTACCTGATCAGTACATCATTTATGGGCACCTCCGAGACGGGTGATATAATAGACATTACGCATAATATGATTTATATATATTTTCTTTGCAATATGAAAATTGATGTTTGAAGAAAGGTTAAATGAATGTTTATGATTGAAGAAAAATTATGAAAAAATTTCTTACAGAAATATTATGAACTTATACAAGTTTGATAGTCGTTTAATAATTTTTTATAAAAAAATATTTTATTTTGATTTTATGCAAATTTTTATGAAAATATGAATACCTGCTGAGTGAGTAAGCTCACCCCTGTTTGTAGGAATCTTTTTCAGGAGAACTATTTGGGAAGTAATGACAACGAGACGACAGTACACTTACCGTCGTAGAGGGCCTTAGGAAGAAATATTTTTTGTTTTCTGTTTTGTGTTTGAGTTAGTGGATTTTATTTGAGGAGTCTGTTGGAGTTTATATTGATGTTTATGTTTATGGATTTTAAGTTGTTGTGGTTTAGAAGAAACAATTTGGAACGCTTTCAGTTGATGTCTTAGTTGCTCTTTCTTATTTATGTATGTATGAAATGAAAGTTTAATTTATGTTATGTTATAAAAGTAAATGAAATTGTTATGATATATATTATGGTGTTTTTCGTACAACTGTCTGCTGCCGCCTCGTTAATTCGGGCTAGTCAGGTCGGGTCTTGACAAGAGTGGTATCAGAGCAAATGATTTAATACTGATCAATGAAAGAGTTTATAAGAGAATTTTATGAGTCTTAGAATGTGTAGAAAGTGTGAAATTTATGAATTATTTGCCTTATGATTATTGTGTTATCTCAGGAATATGGATACTGAGCAGAATACCACTGATGACATTGATGTTGAGGAAGGGAGGGAACTACCAGAAGTAGCAGAACTTTAGAGGAATAATGATAGCACCACTTATGGAGTCATTTGCTCAGATGATGGAAGCAATGACTCAGATAATAAAGATTTTCCAAACTCAAACAAGTGGCAGTGGAAGTCGTTCTATGGATAAGAACTTGAAGTTATTTCAAGACATGAATCATCCGTTATTTTCAAGTGATGGATCTATAGAGGCTGATGATTGGTTGATGTGGATAGAGAAAATTCTGAAGGGCATGTCTTGCCAGAAGATAGAAGGGCGACACTCGCTACTTATGCCTTTGATGGTGAGGTAGAAAGGTGGTGGCGGAGTCAGTTGCAAGAGATTTTTGGAGGGCGACCCAACAGTCAAGTCTCCTGGGAAGAGTTCGTGAATGTATTCAGAGGCTGGTATGTACCTATGTCAGTCAGGAGACAGATGCAGGATAAGTTCAACAGATTGGTTTAGGTAGATCGATCTATTTCTCGGTATGAGACAGAGTTTACAATGTTGTCCATGTATGTCCCTCACTTGATACCTATTGCTGAAGAGAAGTGACTCCGCTTCCTGAATTGATTAAAAGACATAATAAGGCAGTATCTCATACATTTGGGAATTGAAGATTATTCCACTTTGGTGGAAAGAGACAGAAGGATCGAGATGGATTTGCATGCAACTCAGAAGAGGAGAGATTTTCAGAAAAGGAAGATGGAGGGCAGATCAAAACCCTCTCAGTTTGCTCAGTCTTCACAGTTGGGGGTGTCTACTTGGAAGAAGCCCAAAACCAACAATTCTGACAGCAGTACTTCAACTGTTACTTTATGCAGCAAATGTGGGAGAATGCATAAGAAAAAGTGCCTCTCTGACACTAATACTTGTTTCTGCTGCCATCAACTTGGACATATGATAAAGTTTTGCCCTCTTATGGGACAAAGATCTTCTACAGAGGCCATAACAGGCAACAATGCTCAGAGGACAGTTGACAGACCAAGAGCTGTGGAGTCTACAGCCTCTGTAGCAGATCTCTGTTCGAACAATTTAAGATTCATATGATTATATGAATTGAACGAACAATGCTAATCATAAAAAGATCACAATATTTATTTATAAGACATGACATTTATTGTTCGTTCAATTTATATAAAATCTTTCATTGACAATTATATGAATCTTAAATTGAACGAATAGAGATCTGCTACAGTGGCTGTAGACTCCACAACTCTTGGTCTGCCAGCTGTCCTCTGAGTATTGTTGCATGTTTTGGCCTCTGTAGTAGATCTCTATCCCAGAAGAGGGCAAGACTTTGCGATATGTCTTGGCTGATGGCACCAGAAATAAGTATTAGTGTCAAAGAGGCATTCTCTCTAATGCATTCTCCCACACTTACTGCATAAAGTAGCAGTTGAAGTACTGCTGTTAGAATTACTAGATTTGGATTTCTTCCAAGTAAACACTCATGACTTTGAAAACTGAGTAAATTAAGAGGGCTTTGACCTACCCTCTATCTTCCTTTTCTAAAAATTCCTCCTTCTCTGAGTTGCCTGCAAATCCATCTTGATCATTCTGGCTCTTTCCATCAAAGTGAAATAATCTTTAATTCCGAAAGGTATGAGAGGCTGTCTTATTATGTCCTTTAATTCATTCAGGAAGCGATGACACTTCTCTTTAGCATTATGTATCAAGTGAGAGGCATACCTGGATAACATTGTGAATTCTGCCTCATACTGAGAAACATATCGATCTCCTTGAATCAATCTGTTGAACTTATTCTGCATCTGTCTTCTGGCTGACATAGGTACATACTAGCCTCTGAATATTTTCACAAACTCTTTTCAGGAGACTTGATTGCTAGGTCGCCCTCCAAAAGTTTCTTGCAACTGACTCCGCCACCACCTTTCTACCTCACCATCAAAGGCATAAGCAGCGAGTGTCACCTTTCTATCTTCTTGTTAAGACATGCCATCCAGAATTTTCTCTATTCGCATCATCCAATCTTCAGCCTCTATAGGTCCACTACTTGAAAACAACGGAGGCTTCATGTCTTGAAATAACTTCAAGTTCTTGTCCATAAAACGACTTCCACAGCCACTTGTCTGAGTTTGGGAGGTCTTTATCATTTGAGTCATTGCTTTCATAATCTAAGCGAATGACTCCATATTGATGCTATCATTACTTCTGGTAGCTCCCTCCTTTCCTCACAATCAGTGACATTCTGCTCAGGATCCATATTCCTGAGATAACACAATAATCATAAGGCCAGTAATTCATAAATTTCACACTTCATACACATTCTAAGACTCATACAATTCTCCTATAAGCTCTTTCATTGATCATTATTAAATCATTTGCTCTGATACCATTCTTGTCACGATCTGACCCGGTTAGCCTGAATTAACGGGACGGGAGCAGACAGTCGTACGAAAAATACTAACATATATCATAACAATTTCATTTAACTTTTATAACATAAACTTTCATTTCATCCATATATAAATAAGAAAGAGCCACTAAAACATCAACTTAAAGCGTTCCAAATTGTTTCCTCTAAACCACAACAACTAAAAATCCATAAACATAAACATCAATATAAACTCCAACAGACTCCTCAAATACAATCCACTGACTCAAACACAAAGCAGAAAACATAAAACATTTCTTCTCTAGGCCCTCTACGACGGTAAGTGTACTGTTATCTCGTTATCATCACTTCCCAGATGATTCTCCTAAAAAAGATTCCCACAAACAGGGGTGAGCTTACTCGCTCAGCAGGTATTTATATTTTCATAAAAATTTACATAAAATTAAAATAAAATATATTTTCATAATAAAACATTAAACGACAGTTAAACTTGCATAAGTTCATAATATTTATGAGAAACTTTTTTATAATATTTCTTCAATCATAAACCTTCATTTAACATTTCCTCAAACATTAATTTTCATATTGCATAGAAAACATATATAAATCATATTATGCGTAATGTCTATTATATCCCCCGTTTCGGAGGTGCCCATAAATTATGTACTGATCGGTACGCATTTTCATATCATTTGACCATTTTTTTACCATTGGCTCTAACGAGCCCCTTTACCATTTAGCTTTTGCGAGTCCCTTTATCATTTGGTTACTCCGCATCTTCATGCACAATCTCATATCATAATTTATAATTTATATTCAGACAATCATATGCAAAATGAAAAACAATTGTAACTCAAAAATCATTAACTCAAAATATGATAATCACGAATAACATGTAAGTCTAACAATCTATTACAATATAAAAATATTATACTAATATATCATTTAAAAAAATAAAATTCATAAATCATTTGAATATTAAAATCTTAAATATTTAAAATTATATAAAAAGAAAGACAAAATAATACATGAAATTTTTATGATAATATGAGTTCTTACCTAATCCAAGTACAACACTTCCTCAAAATGTCGCTTTGACACATTTCGTTCACCTTAAAGATCACAACATAATAATTACATAAAAAGACGTGTCACAAATAAATCTTCCTTAAGGTTTAATCAAATTCCTAATTGTCTAAACCCTTCACTTTCTTTATTCGATCCTTATGACATTTAGGAAAATTAAAATAACTTAATTTTAATTTTCGGATTTATTAAAATCCTTAATTTTTTGAAAACCCTTAATCCTCAATTTCATCAATTTAATATGCCAAAATTTTCCCAAAACATATCTTGATAATTAATTATCGGATTTAATTAATTAGGAAATTATGAAAAATGAAATTTCTTAAAAAAACTCAAAAATTTTTTTAAAAGCATTCCTAAGACCCTTAAAAACCATTTTTATAAAAGCACCTTAAGGAAATTAAATTTTAGGTAAAAGTCCTAATTTTTTATTTCAAAAAATTCTCAAAGAAAACTTCGTTTCTATCGTTAAAACACTTTCTCTAATCCTTCCCTATCTATTTCATGAAGAAGTTTTGGAAGAAACTAACATTTTGGAAAAACTCTAATATTTTTATTTACAAAAATCTTGAGATTTAGAGGAGAAATCTAGATTCTATGACATACCTTCTTTTTCTCTTGACTTCCTCTTCGATTTCCACTAGTTTCTTTGCCGGAAAATCTTCGCCGAAGCCGTGCCCGTCGCCCTTGCCCGACGCCTCACCCGTCCGCTCCTTCGTTTCTCTCGGCCGAACAAAATGAATAAGGGAAGGGGGTTTCGATTTTCCCTATTTAGGGAAATAGGGATTTCCAAAATGACCCATATGCCCTCACTTAAACAATTTTGGTATTTTATTTGATTAGGGGTAGTTTGGGTATATATAAACTTCTAAGTTTTATAACTCCCAAAATACACAAAATTAACTATAGGTTCTATATATCAAATCCTTCAAAAATTTATGTAAAATTTTATAAAATTACTTTCGTCAAAATCCGTTAACTTTAATTTTTCACTTAAGTTTCATCGTGACGCATCGAAATGCGTGCGATGGCTACGATCCTCAAATTTTGGGTTTTACAGAATGTGGGAAATATAATTGATTCCCAATCAATTTCAGATTTAATCAATCCTTGATTGAGGGAAGACTTTCCAAAATTAAACTAAATGATTTATGAAAGAATTTGAAATTTCAAATTCGTTTGAATTTGAATTCAAAACTTACTATAGTTAAACAACTTAGGAAAGAGGGAAATTAAGAAGGGAAAGGGACTAGGGGCCGGCGGCTAGGGTTGGTGGTGGAGTTAGGGTGATGGGGGGTTAGGGTTGTGGTGGTGGGGCTTAAGGCCGGCGGGTGGAGGAGGAGGAAGGGTTGGCCGGTGGGGAAGGAGTTTGGTACCTTTAGGTTTTGGCTAACGGTTAGGGCTTGGCCGGAGATCTTGGGAAGAAAAAGGAAGGGTGACCGGCGGTAGGGATGAAGAAGAAGAAATAGACCACGAGCTCGGACATTTTCTGCTGCTGGTGGGTGATCTGTTGCCCTCACCTAGGGACTTCTCTCACTAGAGCTCTCGAACCTTACCAAAGACATAAGTGCAGAATTTTTATTTTCAATAATCATCATCTCATCAAAGGAGAATGGGGCTTTAAATAGCCAATACAATGAAGAAAATACAAATGACCAACTTGCCCCTAGGGCATATACATGACTAGACCCTCAAGTAAGGGTGTAAAAGGAAAGATATAATAAAACTCATAAACATAATAAACTAATACATCAATAATAAATCTAATACAATAATAATCAAAAGTAAAGCGATGCAATCGTGGCCGTAGATTTAAGGCCCCATCTATGGTAGACTCTCCAAGGTTTGATGTCCTCATCATGATCACTGGCAGGCAGCTTTTCTTCCCGCATGCTTCCTAAAGTGACTTTCCCAGCCTCACCTGGCCCGGGGAAAACGAGGGGTATCGTACTGTCATGTTTTCTGCCATTTACTTAAACTCTCTAAATCAACTAGTTTAAGCTTACCAATACTTGAATTTTAGATAATATTTTAGTGAAATTAGACTGAACAAATTGCCTGTGCCAACCTTCATCAGTATGGTTATAAACTTATAATAACTCTTGATGTATGGTTGATCTTTTCAACTTGGCAACATACTTGCCGTTGCCAGCTTGCTTGCATGCTTACTGGGGGTTATGGTTTACAGTTAAACCTCTTATTATTTAGGCGACAAGAAATTTTCTGGACCAATACATAAATTCCTTTTGACCCACATGCAGTATTTCTTTCTAGTGCTCTGGTTCCATTATGTGCTTCAGCCAAACTTAAGTTGACCCAAATTTGACCCGAATCTTACACGGGTTGGCCTAAATTTGATTTGTTTGTTTGTGCCAGATTTGAATCAGGTTTTCACGTTGGATACTGTATTGACACACTATCATTTATTAGGACTCTTATTCCTAATCATCCTTATTTTTTTTGTAAATGGCCCCTTCCTCATTTGTCTGTCCCTCCAACTGGAAAATTGCTCTAATACAAATTTATGATAAGTTTGGTTTAGCATGGCATTCAAATGAGCAAATAACTACTCTTTTCCCTTTTCTTTTAACAGGGCAAAGATTTGCATTACGTGAAGGAGGAAGGACTGTTGGCGCTGGAGTTGTATCCAAAGTAATCAGTTGATGATTTGTAAGCTTTGAAACTTATTCTTTCATGAAAATTCCTCCATAAGGATAGGACCCGCCGGCAATGGTAAGCTCACATTTTGTCATGTAGGGCTGTAATCGAGCCGAGCCTAACCAAGCATATCACAAATTGTTCATGTTTAGCTTGAGCTATAGGCAGGCTTACATATACTTTTGTATTTGGTCTGTTTAGATTTTTCTATGATCAAGTTTGACTTGTACTTAAAAAAGTAAAAAATACTTGGCATCTTCTATCATACTTAGCCATCTTGTTAGAATAATGTGCATTAGTGCTTATTTTTTTCACTTAAAGGAGACAAGGGGCTAAGAGGGAGTGCGTGCGAGAAATAGCAAAAATGAGGGAGATTGGGAGAGAAAGCCCTATTACTAATTTAAATTATAGCGACTTTTTGATTAGTAGGAACTTGCAAATTTTGATTTTAGTGGTTGTTTTCCTTCCAGTTCTTGTGAAGAGGAAAAATGTGATTTGTAGTCCCTGTTTAGAACTGCTTGTTTGCATCATGAATAAGACTCTTCAGCACAATCATTCATATGATTGCCTCTTATTGTTGAGTGTTAGAATTGTGCATATATAAATGTATTTATTATAATGAAAACAATTTGTGTCAAGATTTTTCGCTAAAGTGTGATCAGAATGAGTTTTATACGTATTGATTTATTTTGAGATACGTGTAATAGAAATTTTAACTAATTAATCATGCATTATATTAAATAAGATATTCTCGCCCGAAGTTTCTTCTATTATAATAGGAGAGATTATTCTATGCAGTGTTCGAACGTATCCGGAAGCCAATCTAGACACAGCACATCATCCAATGCACTGTGTATTGGGTGATGTGGTGTGTCCGGATTGGCCTTTGGACGCGTCCGGACACCGCACGTTATAATTTTTCTTATAATAGCTTCTCTGTAACATGATGGCGCTGGTAATTTAATGCTATTATGCCTCCTCCTATGGAGAAATTATTACGTGTGAAGTTCTGATGTGAGAACC